TACCCGCGCGGCCACGCTGCAGCTCGCTGTTGCCGAGCAGAGATTGCCCTTTGGAGCCGACGAGTGATGCGTCTTGCAAAGGGTTCATTAGGGCGACCCACTTCGAGTGCACACTGCATTCCGAACGCTCTGTCTCTCTCGCACTCACGGCGCGTTGCGGAGAAGGGGTGCGAGAGAGACAGAGCGACGAAAGCACTGAGTCCGCCTGCAGTGTGCACTGCGAGAGGCGAGAGGGTGCTGTTGGCCGCGTTCGGTGAGGTCCTATGTTTTCTTCGTGAGCCACCCGGCGGACACGAGGACGCGAGCTTTTGGTCTCTTTGGACCTGGGACCCCAGCTCAGCGGACGCGCCGCGCTCGGCTAGCACGTCCAGCCACGACAAACGAGGCTTCCCTTACGCTCCAATCCAAATTAAGATTATCTCGCAGGCCTGCCGGCCCTCCCTGGCGCTCTGGCCGAGAGGGGAGGGGGAACGAGGGCAGGGCATTGGAACAAGGCAAATTGCTGTGATCGGCTAAACGGCCTGAATGGTGGAGCGCGCTGGCTGACCGACCGGCCCCCTGTTCCACGCCCCCCGTTTGGCCCTCATCAACGAATGGCTGTGCAGTGCGCGCCGCACACCGGCCATCACAACACACGATCTGGACCGCCGTCAAGTAGCGCGGCCAAACGGTGGGACGCTGCTGCGTCACGGTGGTCGCGGTCGAACAAACGTTGAGCCCGCCTAAGAGGGCCAGCGTTCGAATCCCTCTCCCGCCCCATGATCAACCGGCCAGTGTGATTCAACGAGCCGGCCGAGGTGCCGTTCGAAGCCTCATTCATTGTTCGGATGGGACGGAGGAAGCCAGTGGGGCGGGGCGGCCGAGTATGAGGGAGACGTGAGGACGCCCGCCCCTTTTGTTTGTTGTTACCTCACAGAGAACACGTCCCAGGTGAAGAAAGGAATGAAGCAGAAAAAAAGGAAAAAGGAAGCTGGCCGCGGAATCGAACCACCGACCTCGACCGGCACGACTATGCAGTAACAATGGGACAAGAACTTAGACGAAGGTGTACAGGCTCTAAATCATCCGCGCCTCGCGTTTCCCCTTTTTTTTTCTAATCTCAACACACACAAGATTGATGCACCCCTCAGGCCGAAAGTATTTGTTTTAGCTACGCGCTGGTGTGACAACATGTAACATTGACAATGTAACACTGTGCTGTGCTTGGCAGGTGTTGGGACTCTCACGTCCCGGTTTGATGCAGAGACCATGGGCGTGCACCACGGCGGCCGCGCAGGGACGCCCCACGGGTGTGACAGAGACAGCAACAAAACGCTCTGCAGTCGGTGGACTTTGGTGGCGAAATTCCGCGTCGCGCCGACTGTTTTCCGACCTGACAGCAGCCTCGGCGTTACAAAATGCGCCCGCGGTGACCTCAACTTCCTGCAGGCCGAACACTGCTTGCTGTCTCTCTCGCACCGACACGACGCGCCCCGTGAGTGCGAGAGAGACAGCAAGCAGTGTTCGGAATCGCAGCCCGCTGGGACGCGTGTGCAGAATGGCGTGTCTCCCCCGCAGCGTTTGGGCAGCGGCGGCAGTGGACAGGACGAGCGGTCCGGCGCGGCGCTCTAGTCCACTGGCTTCCGGTGCGGTGCCTCTGGGGCCGCCATGGCCCGCCACCGGAAGTACCTTCCCTGCCTGGCAGCCTGGCGGCCCCGCACTGGAAACTGGAACTTTGGACGAGTCGCGCGGGAACCGAACCGGCCAACGGGGAACGACCAGCGCGCCGGCCGCTTGTTCTGCTGCCGCCGGCCGCGCCGGTCGGGTTGGGTTGGGTCAGCTGACTCCGCCACGGTCAATTCCAAAGCGGCGCGGCGAGGCGGGGCGGGGTGCCTGGGAGCCGCAAAGGGCAGGCACGCCCCATTGGTTCCGCGGCGTTGCGGCGTCTGCTGGCGTCGTCTGCTACTGTCACCCCCACGCCGCGCCGTCTTGGACGCGACGCACCCAAAGGCCCGACCCGACCGCTTGTAGGTCAGCCGCTGCCCGCGGCGAGGCGAGGCGAGGCGGGTGGCGGCGGCACCGTCGTTGTCGCCAGGATCAAAGATCAAGGAGGATCCGACGCGCCTCATTGCAAGCGGCGACCCGCTGGCCCCGTCCTCCCTCCTCCACCAGCGTGCGCCACGTCGCGGCACAGTCGCCGCCGAAAGCGCGCGCACACACACGGACACCGAGGGCGAAATCCGACCGCCAAGGGCGAATGAAATTGGACCGAGTTGGACCGCGCCGCCCGCCGCGCCGCCACGGGCGGATCTTTCGTTCTCGGCAAGGCTCGCTCGCTGTGCGTCGCTGTGCGCAGTGTACGCCCTTGCACACGACCGCGGCCGTGCGTGCTGCGCGCGTGTCCCCGCGCCGTGTCGCCGTCCGCGTCCCCGGCACGCGCAAGCAGCGCAAGCAGAACAAGCAGGCCGCCATCAAGAACGCATTCAAGCCGCTCAATGCCCAATCCGCGGCTCTGTTCACCCGTCGCCGGCCTGCTGACTGCCCTGACGCAACCGCGCCGCGCCCCGGTTATTTTGTTAGGTCGGTAACCACGCGGTCCTCGGGGGGCGGGGCGGGCCGGTGGCAAGGGGGGCCTGGGAAGAAAAGAATTGTCTGGACGCCCCCCAGGAATCCCCTTGCCGGCCGCCGCCCGGCCGCCCTGGCCGCGTATTACAAGAGAAATGTGAAAGTAACTTGCGCTGTGTGAACAGCATCATCTGCCCGCCGGGCGGGGCGGGGCGGGGCGCGGCGGGGCGAGCCCTGGACATTGTTATGACGCGTGCGCCTTTTGTCTCGCGGTGGGAGCGCACGCGTGCCGTCACGCGCCGTCACGTGACACGACAAACGGGCCAAAGTGGCGCCGCGATGCGCCGCGGGCACCGCGAGCACCGCGAGCACCGCGAGCACCGCGACAGTGCACTAGCAAGCGAGCCGCCCCGACGACGATCTACTTCCGATTCCGGGGGAAGAGTCAGCAAATGGAGGACTGCAGCAGACTGAATCCGAGAGTCGTTTCCGTCGCTCTGTCTCTATCCCACCGGTACGGGATGCCCCGTGAGTCCAAGACACAGCGACGACAATGCTGAAAGAAATGCTCGGAAGCTGTTCAAATATGTAGACAAAAACTTCAGTTTATCTTCTAGTAAATTAAGAGCCGAGAGACAAGAGGTGGCACGGCACGCCGCCGACACCGCGTCGCGAACCGCCCCCTTGTTTTTCGGCGTAATTTCAGCTCGTTAGAGAGGGCAGCGGCCTGCTCCTTCGCTGTGGCTGCGTGTTCGCGCCTTGCGCGCTGAGAGAGACGGAGAGAGAACGCGCGGGGGGGGGGGGGGGGCACCAGGGCATCCGCAGTCAAGAGTGCCTCTGTAGACTGATTCCGAAAGCCGTCTTCGTCGCTCTGTTTGCACTCAAGGGGCGTTCCTGAGTAGGTGCGAGGGAGACAGAGCGACGAAAACGGCTCTCGGCATCAGCCTCCAGCTCCAGCTCCGCCTCATGGACCCTCGCCGCCAGACGCCAGACCGCCAGGTGTGTCATTTGTCGGCGGCCGTCGGCAGCATCCCGTCAGACGCCGCGCGCCCGACGCCCCGACGCGGCCCGATGACCAATGGCCGACGAGCCCAACGAGGCGCGCGCACCGCCGCCGCCACGGCCGCCACAAAAGGCAACGCCAGACTCGGTGGCGACTGGCGTTTTGGTTCGGGTGCTGGGAACTGGGAACAGTCGGCGTGGCGCCGGAAGGAACTCGTTTCGGGAGCCCCGATTCACTTCCCCAATGGCTTCTCATAACAAGGCGTGGCGTGGCCCAGTGGCCGCCCTGGGCCGCCCCCGAAGAGATGTCCCAACGCCGTGGGAGTCTCGCTTGCCGGAGTTAGCGGCCCCTGATTGGCCCACTCGGCTCATCGCCGAAACGAAAACGAAAAGGGCGAGGCGCGATGAGCAACGGCGGCCGCTTAGTGGGTGGGACTTCCCTCGGCCCGGACGACGACGACATAGCCTGACGACGAAGGACGAATCCGACGAGCACTCTGATAGCTCCGTCTCTCTCGTACCGCGAGGTGCCAGAGAGACAGAGCGACGACGGCGTGCTTGGTGACGACGGCGACGGCGATCAGGTGGCGCAACAAAAGGGGCAGACCGCCTACCGCTGCACTGCTGCGGCAGTGGGGCAGCAGCCACTTCGGCTAATTAATCAACCGCTATGAAAGAGGCGCCCGCGTTCCGTGCCGTCGGTGTTGCATGTGTACGGAGTAAGCGCGGCCGCGCTTTGGAGGAATCGAAGCCGGAGCCGGAGGCAGGAAGGCGGGGAGGAACGAGAATCGCACGGAGAAGGGAAAAACGGGAAAAGCGGGAAAAGAGGGAAAGGGTGAAGCACTGCCGGCCGGCCGGCAGACTGACCGACCGGTAGGAAAGAAACGGAGTGATGTGCAGTGCAGCGATAAGCATCGAGCATCACACTCTACTTGTCCGGCTCCGCGCTGCGCGCTGCTCTGTTCCACTTAGAATACAACGGCGAGGCGAGGGCCGGCCGGCAGCGCCAAGGACCACTGAGAGAAAAAGTGAATCAAGTCACTGGGATCGCGGCATCGCGGGCCGCGGCTAACTGCCGGGTCCACGCGCAGCGCGGTCGCTCTGACTCTCTCGCACTCGTGGGGCGTCCAGAGCAGGTGCGAGAGAGACAACAACCCTCGGAATCAGGCTACAGACCAAAGGGAGCGGGTGCCGCTCTGGTTTGCATTGTTAAAGCGTGGCGGGTTGCAAGTGACTCAGTTATAAGTGACGCGACCAAGGATGTGACGCGTCAAGCTAACCAGAAGGCAACAGGGCGCTCTTCATCAGAGAATGGATAGCTCAAGTCAATCGCACTTGGATTGTGACGAGGGAGTTCTCAAGCTGGGGACAAGAGAATTATAATGCATGCTTTTCGAGACCAGACATGTTTGGCACATGACACCAGCCATGGAAACCAGAGTCACGAGACTTACTTGTGGAAGCGATCGTTGGTCATCGCTGGGAAGTTCTTTGACGGCACCCAATCCACAGCAACACCAGCAACACTTTAATCCACACAGATCACGAAGCGCTTGCACTGCAATTTAATCCATCCTTCGCAGTGGATCCACTGAACACCGGCGTGGCGATGTCAGATCCATGGTCGCACGTCGGCAGCGTCAGCAGTGGTCAGCAGCCTCCCCCGCACTCGGGTCACACGGTCACATGATAATCCAGTCCGGGCGGCGTGTCACGGAGTGTCACGGCGCGGTCACGGAGTCGTCACGTTCGCGTCGTGCTTCGCGGACGGCGTGTCGCGGCGTCGGCCGGCGGTACCTGTGTCGGCGAGTGGCGCGGGGCAACTGACGGGTCTCGGTCTCGGTCTGTTCCGGCCGAAGCCTCGAGGTGAAGGGGTGGGGACGGCACGGCTGGAGTTGAAGCACCGCGGTCGCGGCGCGCGGCAGTGCGGCGTGGGAGGGGGCGGGCAAAGCGGGCAAGCCGGGCTAGGCCTGCTGCCCGATGCCGCAGGATCACTTCGTCGCTCTGTCTCTGTCGCACTCACGGGGTCCTCCCTAGGGGTGCGAGAGAGACAGAACGACGAAACGATCCTTTCGGAATCGGCTCGGCAAGCGTTACGGGTGGTGCGCGGCGCACCGCACCTGCCTACACCTGCCGAGCCATTCGGAAGTGTCGTTCCGTCGCTCTGTCTCTGTCGCACCCATGGTGCCCTGCACGAGGGTGCGAGGGAGACAACACGACAACGCGATCTTCGGAATCGCTCGGCTTTCGAGAACGGCTCGGCACCATGCACTCTTTAACGTCTGGCAGGGTATCGTACTGAATATGTCCTGTTGGGAGCTGATGTTCACGCAAAAAATGTTTTCGCGATCTCCAATTTCTCTCGTGCAGGTGCAGACTTTACTGCTGCAGTGCTTTTGCTCTGGTTGCTGCTGTCAAATCTCGATGGAATTTTTGAAACAATGACCGATCTTGAGCGCACCGCGCGCCGCACGGGTAGGCCACCCATCCGGCGGCGATGTGGACTGGGTCACCGTCGCAACGTCGCTCCGGGGCTTTCGAGCAGGAGTCGTTTCCTTGGCTTTCTCTCTCGCGCCTGTGAGGGGACGCCCAATGAGTGCGAGCGAGAAATCAAACTCTCAGGATCAGTCTGCTCCGTCTGCTGGTCCCTCGCCCGCGGCGACAAAGCAAAGAGCCCCGTACCCGTTTCCAACTGTGTCCCAAAGGACCGCTTCATCTCGGACTTGTCTTTTCGGGAGGAGATGCATCTGGAACAACAGTCCCGGTCCGGCGATGGCAATCTCCAGCAAACTGCAAAATCAGCAACTTTCTTGAGAAAAAGCGAAATTCTTTTGTCCGATTTTAGAAGTTCTGGTGCCGATGGAGGCGGAGGCCGAGGCAGGTGCCCGCTTCGTCGTCGCGTCCTGGGCACTCTGGGGCATGCCCCGGGACCACCTCCACGTCCACCTTGGCATCCTTTACATACCGGCTCGCCTGCGGACTGATTCCGAGAGTCGTTTTCGTCGCTCTGTCTCTCTCGCACTCACGGGGCGTCCCGTAAAGGCGCTAAAGAGACAGAGCGACGAAAACGACTCTCGGAATCAGTCTGCTGACAGGTTGACACGGTTGACAGTGGCGCGGCCCGGCGCGGCCCGGGGCTCGAAAGGGCGGGAGCGGCCGGGAATCTCGGGACGGGAGTGAGTGAAAAGCGAAAACAAGGAGCGGGCGGCCACGGCCACTCGCCGCTTGTCCCTGCTCACCTGCTCCTACTCCCTACCGAGAACAGCGGCTTTAGGAAAATCCTGCTCCACCCCCAATCGCCAAGCCACCACGCCAGTGCGCGCTGTGCACGCCAGCCAAGCCCAAGTGCCCCCAGCCGAGCCGGTCGCCGAAGTCCTGTCCTGCGTCGTCCCGCGTATTCCCCGCACTAGCCCCGCACTCGCACTCGTCCTGTTCGCCACGAGCACTGCACGCTGCGCTTGTGTGCTGACTCGACTTCCTCTTCTTCGAGGCTTCGAGTCGCATCGCCGTGCCGTCCTGCAGTGAGGGCACTCAGTCCACATCCACATTCGCCCGCTCGCACCACGTACACCACGTACCGCGCCCTCTCCAGGCGTCGTAAGTTCGCAGCCTCCTCGACGTCACTTCGGCCCATCTCGGCCCAGCTCAAATCTGTGTGAGTGAGCAGTGTGTGAGCGCACGCGCCCGCGTGTGTGTGCGCGTGAGTGGCTGCTAGTGTCTTTTTGCGGTGGTGTGCGTGCGGGGAGGGGCGGGAGAGTGGGGGTGTCCGGTACCGCGCGGCGGGGCGCGGGGCCCGCGGGGCGCGGAAGAGGGCGGGTCGGGGGCAGATTGTTGATCTTGCCAACGGCTGTCCCTAAAGCCCTAAAACGTTTGAACGGACTCAGAGTTTTTCCCCGGGTCTTAGTTGTGCCAGAGTCAACAGAGCTGTTCGAGGCTGCCGTAAGGTTGAAGGCCTATCATGCCGGTGCGTCCGGAAATACTGTAGCCTTTGCAGCTCCACACACTTCGTGTGTGCCGGCAAGTTGGAGAATAGGCAACCGCGGAAAAAGTGGTCACGTTTTGAAATACGACCCCGTCAAGGAAAGGGAAATGTATGGCCTCAGTCCGCGACTATTTGGCAGGATGGGGTGCTGCTGATCAGGTGATCCGATTTTCCAATCAGTTTTGCTGAATCCGGACTGCGGAGTTACAGTGGAAGTCAATTTTCTTGGCCTGGATGCTGTTCCGGAGAAGTGTCGCCGGAGGCGTCTGCTGGAAGGGCCGCGATTTGGGGCTCTCCATGGGGGTTAGGTTTTCTGTACCGGTCTTGCGGATTGAACAATTTAACATGAATTATTAATACATGGTCTTAAAGAAAAGGCGCTTTAAGAATTTGTGTTTACTGTTTTCATATTTCGGGGACTTGGAAATCACTAGTGTGCCTTTCTGGCCACAGTTGTTTTTTGTGTGTTTATAATGAGGATTTTCAGCGCGACGAGTAGTTTTTTTTTCTTTTTTTACGCCACACTTTACTGTAATGAGTCCCTGGGGAAGCTTCCCTTGTATGATACACCTGTTGATATCCCTTGCCGGGTCGGGTTGATCGGGGACCGTCCGAAAATGACGGTGAAAAAGCGCGGGTACAAACTGTGCAGCAAAAAATCTAAATGTCATGAGGTTTTATCCACTATTGAAGTGCTTAAATTTGTGTCTGCTCTTTTATGGTATTCTTGTTTAAAAATGAGCTCCTACTTTGATTAACAAGTTACAGTCATCTTTGGCAAAGTTTTGTGGGGAATACTCTTGTGATTGCAGATATGAGATAAAGCAAGAAATGAAGATAAAACTTTCCTCATTTGACTGACTTGGCCTTTTACTTCTTTACAGTGCTAATAAAGTTGCCGAGTGAAGAACACTGTAAAGGGGGAAAGTGGAAACCTCTTTCATGGTTTGTAAAACGTTACTTCTCCCCTTCAAAAAATAGTTTCTTATTATTTTTGTACTTGTAAGCTGTACTGATCTTTGAGTTTCCTTGATTTTTCAGTTGAACTCACTGACGTGAACTAGAAGTTTTTCTATGATGAAGTTACCTCTATTTCAGAAGACTTCTTCTAAGAGCGAAAGTAAACCAAGCAGTACTAAATGCAAACACAAAATAGCACCACCTGATTGTGAAATTCAAGGTTCCATTGGTATGCCCTCTGATTTTTAATTTTAAACATAACAATAACTTCATTTTAGCTTTTCATTTTTATTTATTTTTTTAATTCCAGAAATTCAGTTTGGTAATTATCCTTTGTCAACCTACCTCATTCCCTACTTTCTTTTGTCTTGGCTTCCTTTCTTGCTCATCCTTTTCCTTGTGCATAATGCTCTATCCGATCAAATGGAAAGCCAAAGATTAGAAGTGGCCAGTTTAAAAAGACATGTAAGTTTGTAAAACAGCAGAAGCATCTCACTCAAGTAAATGCTCCTGGACTAAAAAAGTTGACCCCTCTCTTACTTTTGTTTCAGACAAGATTTCTAAATGAAGAGGTGGATTCTTTGAGAAATGCTCTCAACTCTTTCAAAGCAGGACTTCCCTTAAGTCAAACTCAGAAGTTTGTTAATGAAAATCCTGAGGAAATAAAGTTATCAAATGTTCAAGACTTAGAAACTTATGTTCAGAGAGAGAAGCGTAGTGTTGATTCTGGTATGTAGTTCCCATTTACAAAATTTATTATTTGAGTAGCAATGTTTGTCATTCATTTTGAGAGATCATTTTTTATGGAACAGAATTTAAAAGTGGTCTCAAAGAATCTAGTTCATCCCAGAGAAAAGTAACAATCAACAACAACACAGGCAGAAGAGGGAATCAGTCGCGTAAGAAACTCAAAACTTCTGTTCAAGCACGATGCAGACGTCAATGCCTCAGGCGTCTCAATTTCAGTAACTCCAAGCGTAGTGGTAGGCATAGGTTTACTTTTTCTTCATTCCTTCCTGTGGCTTTTTGTACTTGTTCCAGTTTACACTTTCCTGTAGTTTATTTGCATGTGTAGATTTGTGTCTTCTTTCTTGGTGCGTGTCTTTAGAATTTAATTTTTTGGTTGATGATTGATGCTTGTTGATTTTTGCTTTTCTTTTATTTGAATAGATACAGTATTTTTCTTAAATCACCTGATCTTAATTGGTGACACTTCCTTTTTATCAGTCTTTGTTTTTATAAAAAATGTTGTATTTGCAGGTTTTTTAGCCTTACATCTTAAAGGAGCTCATCCAGAAAATGTTGTTGAAGCTGGTTAGTAAGTGTGCAGGCCTGATAGATTATGCAGTATTTTTGATACTGAATGACAAGTTTATTTATCTGCAGGGCATGTGGGACCATGGTTTGTTGATTCCAAGGCAATAAAAGAAAGTAAGGTTTCATCTTCTTTTCAATTGAGAGAGGACAATGAAAGTGTCGAAATTGAAACTGCTGGCTTATACTTCATTTATGCGCAGGTTTGTACAGAGCTTCCTTTGTCTAAAAATGTCTAATGCCTTTGTATCCAAACACAGAATAGAAAATTCAAACTGAATCCAATGTTGATGTATCTGTGTCCTTTTATCATGAGCTTTAAGATTTCTGATTTGTCCCCTGACGCCTTCTTCTTACTAGAACTGCAACCAGTATTTTTTGGGCTACAATTATGCTTTTTTACAGGTCTATTACCTTACATCACATGCTCTGAATAGTTACACTATCATGGTCCTTCCAAAAGATTCTGACAATCCAATCACTTTGGCGTATTGCAGTAGTAATGCAGTGTCTTCGAATTCCACATCAGAAGTGAGTTGTTATACAGCCGTACTATATACACTGCATGTAGGGGATCGCATTTATGTGCAACAACGTGAAAAACACCGCAGGCTGATTATGCGTTCTGGGCATTCATTCCTTGGTCTCATTAAGTTCAGTGGAATTTAGAACAATGTTTCTTTCATAAGACCTAAGCACTACAGGTACTGGGCATGTTTTGTTTCAGTATTTAAACAGGCTTCTCTAAAAAAATTACTCTTGGTTACTCTTTGCAGGAAGTAATTCTATATTGAATGAGATAGATGTTGGAATGGATTTTATTTTATATTATTCTAAGAGACCAATTATTTTTGTGGCCTGACCAGATAAAAGTTGTTCCTGGAGCCACTGAAATGCAGTTGGTTCTTGTAATGTTAGTGTTAGCATTGTTTTGTTACCCTGTTCTTAGTTAGTGTAGTGCCTTAGTTTGTATTCACCTCAACAGTTAAGGATTTTGTTTTAAAAAAAGAGAGAGAGAGAGATGCTTTGGTTTAGGGCTTGAGAGCTATCTCCATTCTGGTTAATAATGCTGGATAGTCAATGTGAATGTGGTTTTTATCCACCTGTTTTATCAAATAGAACTGTGTTTGGAGAAAAGTATATTTCTGACTGGTCATTGAAAGGAAATTACGAAAACTTCTGTACCTGATTAATTTTGTTTATTTCAGTATTAAAAAAATTACATACAAAATCTTCCAAGTTTCAGTCAATTGACACATGCAGTCTAAACATATCTCACAGAGATGAGTAAAAAAAGCACCTACATTCATACAAATATATACACATATAGTTAAAATTAAATGTGACACAAGTCACTCATTTGGCCAGGACTTTCTGAGATGTGATCCAAGGATGAATCATTACTTGGTCCAATGGAAGTCTGTCATAAGGATTTCTCCTCAGCAGCTAGAGAAAAACGAAGAGACATAAATAATAGGAAAAAAGTCAACATAAATTTTGATTTATTGAAAAAACAGAAAAAAAAGCTTCCATACCTTGTTAATAAGATCTCGGGCAAGAGGCCTCACATATTCTGGAAACTTGACATCAACTGCCTGGATTCGCCTGTAAGTGTCTTCCTGCTGTGTGCTTTCAAATGGAGGACGACCCACCAAAAACTCATAGCACAGAACCCCAAGGCACCAGAAATCAACTTTTTCATCATATTCTCGTCCGGCAACCATTTCGGGGGGAAGGTAATCCAAAGTTCCACACATTGTTTTGCGTCTGCAATTTTAACCATCAAATTGAGTATGCAGCCTTTTAACGCAAATTAAAAAGAGAAAAAAATAAATGACTCACTTTGAAGAGGGTGCATGAACCGACCAACCAAAATCCGCCAATTTAATATTGCCCTGTGCATCAAGAAGAAGATTCTCAGGCTTAATATCTCTGTGTATCACCTTGTACAAATGACAATGGCGTAGGGCATCAGCAACTTGGTAAACATACTTGGCAGCTCTATAAAAAAAAAATCAATGTAATGAGGTAAATTCAAAGCAGATGTAAACTCAATTGATTTGATAACATGAATACATACTCAGGTTCATTGAAACGCCCATGTGGCTGCCCTTGTAAATGTTTGTACAATTCACCACGTGCAGCAAATTCAAGCACCAAATAAATTCGATTTTTATCATAAAAATATGTTAGCAAGGACAAAATGTTAGGATGCCTGTCAAAGAGACATGTGATTTAATGTGAAATTGAAATTTCAATGAACAAATGCTGAACAAGCAAAAATGATCTCTTACTTTAAGTGGGTTTGAATCTCAATTTCTCTTAGAACTTGCTTCTCTAAGCGTGACTTGACTAGTTCAGACTTGTACAGCAGTTTCAGGGCAATCATATATTTGGTATATTTTTCACGGGCAAGATACACTCTGCCAAACTTGCCACGCCCCAGAGGACAGCCAATATCAAAATCATTAATGCCCCAATCGTAACTGGAAAAAAGATGAGGTTGGTTATGAAACATTCTGTAGAACACAATCAAATTTGTGTAACAAAATTGCTACTTACGAAGCCCCTTTCCGTGCAACAATGTGGTCCTTCATTAAATTTAAAGTCTTTTGAACATTGGCCTTTCTCTCGGGTGGACATGATGGTGAAACAGTGAAGAGACTCTCCAAATTTGCATCTCGCTCCATGGTAAAACCTGCAGGATGAAAAAAATTACCAGGGCAGCACTAGCTACTATACTGCGTCTTCAATGAAAATCCGGGCGCATGGATGCTTGCTTACAAACTTTGGTTATGGATTGCTATAGATTCCGCCCAGAAGGCTGCTTTTTCCTTCTGGTAAGATTCCTGACAGTTATAGACCATATTTTATGTCATAACAATGCTTCAGAACTGACGGAAGCAACAGTTTTCTGGGTGGCTACAATAGCGACCAGACATACGTGTATGCACCAATGTATGCAGTCCAATAAGCGTAAGTTCACCAGTGAAGTCAACACAAAAAACATAAACTAATATTTGTCGCTTTCTCACAAGCCACTGCAAGAAATGCAACAAAGAAAAAGGAGGTAAAGCCCTCCTTAACCTATTCAAGCAGCTTAATCAAATCTTTATCATAATCTGAACCTCAAAGGTACAGGATTGAAACTTACGAGCATAAAAAGACAATGCGACAATGTTGTGGAAACGTTTCAAGAATTCGATCCAAACAAGCTGAGCAAAAGATACACAACACTTCTGAGTTGAACCCGGGTAAACACGAAACGGATAAATTTTGAATCGAGCAGAACAGTTGAACGTCGACACTCGCTCCCCCCCTGCCCCCCCCCTTACACTTAGTACCAACCTGCAAATAAAGAATCGGCAAGTTTTCTTGAAGTTATCAAAAGCCACTATTTTGAAACAGAAGGTGTTCAAGAAAATTCCAAACTCACCTTCACCTGCCTGGGGTTCGCCAGTTGTGTGTTCAGTCGGTTCAGTGCCATTAAATGCTGAGAACATGGGACCAAGACGAAGTACTGGCACGACTGGCACCCCGCGACTTTCGATTCGATTGTGTGCTCAACAACCAAAACATCCATGGTAACAAAATAAGCAAAGCAGGTTTTCCCGTAAGATCTGCGTTCCAGGTGAAAATTTAAAATTCAAAAAGCGTTTTGACATGGAGTCAGATTATCTGGGGCCTTGTGAAGAAGAATTTAAGCGGTACCTTCTAATTGCTAAATGCTTTGTTGAACGACTGAAGAAAAGTAGAGGTAAGGTCTACAGAATTGTAAAACCGTATTTTTTTTTCAAAATATGCAATTGTAAATTTCATATAATCTTAGACAGGCAGATCTGTGTTCACTGGATCCGAAGACTTTTGGCATTGACACCTTGTAATGATTTAGCTGTTGGACAAAATCGAAATCTTTTCTTCCGGTACTTGATAAAGGTATCTTTTTTCATGAACATGTTAGCATTATTTACAAATGCTCCCACATATTGCTACAAAATACCCTTGTTTCCATAAGGTCATACAAGAGGCAGTTCTGGAAGACATGATACAAAATGATCCAGGTCACATGCTCCATCATTTCACACACATGACCATGTCCATTCAGGTAGAGTTGACACAGTACAGCATTCTCAATTGTATTTAATTGTGTAATACTGTCTCCCTCCCACAGGATCTGCCAATGGTTCAAGATCCATCTTGGCTTGACAAAGAACTTTGTACTCCTGTGATTCAAGAAAAGATAGCTGAGGGTGAGGCAGAGGCCCCTTATTTTGCTCACTGGACTGATGACCAAAAAACATACATAGCTGCAAAGGCCTTACCAGGTAAAGGAGCATTAGTGTACATGGCAGTATCTACAGACCCATCACTTGGCTGGAACAATCTGGTCTAGTAATAGTTTTGGTCCAATTAAAAAGTAATTACAAGCAAAAAATAAATCCAGATACAGAATAATAATAATTTATTGCATTTCAACAATACAATCTCCTCTACTATCTCCTCTTCCCCTTCCCTCTTCCGGCCTGTTTGCCGCCTTTGCCGCCTTTAGCGTCCTTGCCGCCTTTGGCCTTGCCGCCGCGAGCCACCTGCGGCTTGCCTGCGCCGCGACCCTTCTTGCCGCCGGTGGTGCCGCCCTTCTTCTTGCCGCCGCGACCCGCCTTGGGCTTCTGGCTCCTCTTTTCTTCGGCTCGTCTGAAAAAAGAAAATTAAAAAAATATATAAACACAAAAATTAGCAGGATGATACATTCAGCTGGGTCAAGGTTAAGACTTCCAAGAGGATAGGATGGAACTGAACATTCAGATAAGATCAAAGCTTTCTCGATTTTCAGTGCCCAGCTTAAGGGGGAATCAAGAGACTCAACCACCAATAGCATTAAATTGGGCTCCAGGCCAATTTTATCATCACCATGTTCATAGTATTTGTTAAACATCCTAGGAAAATGAAAATTCAACTTGAACACCAAGGCTGTTAAAAGGAAAAGCACATTCAGATAAGATCAAAGCTTTCTCGAATTCACAACCCAGCCAACGGGGGAATCAAGAGACTCAACCACCAATAGCACATAATTGGGCTCCATGCCAATTTTATCATCACTATGCTCATGTTTGTTGGTCATCCAAGTAAAATGAAACTCCAAAAACCTCAACTTTAACATACAAGGCTGTTCCAAGGATCAGTGCATTCAGATAAGATCAAAGCTTTCTCAAATTTCACAACCCAGCCAAGGGGGGAATCAAGAGACTCAACCTCCAAAAGCATTAATTGGGCTCCAGGCCACTTTTATCATCATTATGCAAAGAAAATGCCTAGCGTCCATAAAAGTCATAGATGTAGAAGAAAATGCAAGTGTAGTGAGCCAATAAGTAATACAGATGATCAAAGTTTTCTTGACAGTGAAAACCCTACCAAAACACACAGGAATCGCCACAGGGATGACTCAACCCAATGGTGCTAAAATAGATTCAAAGCAAATTTCCACATGCAGCACTCACATGTTAGCTATGCTATTTGGAAAAAGGTAGGAGATACCCTAATAAGGTTACTGTCAAGACAACTTACTCAGAGTCTTGATTGAAGAGTTCCCTGTTGACTGCTGCTTCAATGTCAAGTCTTGGTGTTTTATTCAAAATTTTGTCAATTATATTAATTGTTGTCTTTTTCTCATCTGCTGGAGTCTGTAACAAGAGGAAATAATGGATTGATTTATTGATTTATTGATTAACACTAGCTGTTCATACTACTTCAAACAAAGTGAAGTATGGAATAGGTTCTAGATCCTCACAATAATAGCTTTTCTCTTCTTTGGAGGTGGTGCAATGGGCATAAGATTTCTCACATCCCTTGCCGGTTTTTCTTTAGGTAGGCTTGCTTGGAACTTTCCGCCTGATGCTGTTGAACTTTTAGCAATAGTGGCAGCTTTGTGAAGCTGTTGGCAAAATGAACAAAGGTAGATATTTTAAGCGACTGTTCATTGGGTGAATGCTAACGCATGAAAGAAAAATAAAATATTTAGACTCACGTCTTTGGAGGAAAGTCTATCTGCTGACACCATTCCTGCTTGAGGGACTTTGATTTTGCGTGCTGCAGCAATATTCCTCATTCGCTGAAGCTCATTCTTGGCGACATTTTCACGTTTAATCTTTTTCTTCTTTTCGAACTGATCCTCCATTGGATCATCATTACCTTTGAGCTCAATAACCCAATCCTTCTCTTTTTCGGCAGCAGCCTTTTTATAACCAAACCTCGGAATCCATTTCTAAGGAGGGAAATGATAAATGGTTAATGAAAGGAAAATTACTATGACAGAAAAGTCATGTAGTTTCTTACCTTAAGAACTTCATCCCATTGCAATTTAGACTTTTTGGTTTTGACAATGCCTTTTTCCTTTGCAAACTTCTCCCATTTAGTGGGTTCCCTGGGTTTAGGAACTGGAAGCGATCTTGGAATGATATATGACGGCTTTGGAAGTTCAACAACAACACACTCTTCTACACGACGAGTGGGCAGTTCCCAAACCTTATTTAAGAGTATTTGAACATTATCTCTTGTCAAATTTTTCAAATACTCTTCACTATTAGATCTGAAAAAGAGCAAGATCAGAAACATAAATAAACAAAGGCTACACACATCATGTAAAGGTATCAGAGAAGAAATTGGGCATAGACGATCTTGGATTTAAACGCAACTTGGGAGTTGTTGTGAGTGCATGTTGTAAGTACAGAATTGAATTTGAGAATTTTCGAGACTTCAGTGGACGACTACTGTCAGGAAAAAGGCACTGCGAAAATACATTACTAACCTCAACTTTGCGACTTCTACCTCGTTTGTATCGAAAGCTAATAAATTTCCAGGATCTAAGTCAACTTCCAAATGTTTTTCTACAGTGATCGGCTTGAACTTTTCCGCATCTCTAGCAGCTTTCTGTAACACTTCGTTGACTATATCCATTTTCTTATTTTCCTGGAGACACTATACAACATGCAACCAGCTTGAGGTGGCTGCGACTGTGGAGAACCTAACCTCGCACCACGAGGTCGTGTCTGGTCCTGTCCCATGCTCCCCCTCCCCACCCCGTCCGTAAAGGGTGGCAACAACAGCCAACAGCAACAACTCGCCTCACATCATGAACATCGTGCTGGAGTCTGCACCAATTACTGTTTGTACAGGCGGAATAAGCCAGAGGTAGTATATCTTTAGCTTTGAACTGTTCACACTTCTCAACTTTCTACATATTGTCAACATTTATGTATGAGCATGAACTGTCATTCTGTCTTGACTCTCTAATCAGTCTGAATACATGTGTACAAATGGCAGATGTACTTGTAATTGAAAGCATCTGCTCTGATCTGTTATCTGCTCATATGTTAATTAACCCCATCTTTTCACTTAAAATCAAGCTTCAGGTTTGCACATGGAGAACTATTGTTTCATTCTTTAAGTCTGACAGGCTTGAGGGTTGTAAAGAGTTGAAATAAGAGGATTCAGAAGTTTGATGTTTTTGTTTATTTATAAAGGTACACTATGAACGAGGTCGCTCCTTCTTTTCCTTGTAGAGGGCGATGAGGGAGACGTTTGCAACCTTCACAACCTTGAAACGGACACCTGTGAACATACATAAGCAAATGAGCAACACATTTGAAATACCCTTGAATGTGGAGACCTTACTTCTAATCAAAGAACATAAATGAATGAAGTCATCACAGCACATTGGATGAAGTAAGCAATCAACCGATGTGTCAACAGATCCCATGATTGGAGGTTGTAAAGGTAAGATAAACAGAGGAACGTACCGGGAATATCACCGACGGCGTGACCCTTACGACCGAATCCGGCAACCAGAACTTCGTCATTTTCTTCAATGTAGTTTAAGCAACCGTCGTTGGGGACGAACGCGGTGATCTTCTTGCCGTTCTTGATCAGCTGAACTCGGACACACTTTCTGATAGCAGAGTTGGGCTGCTTAGCTTCAACACCACTGCAAGATGAAATGAGAGTCAATTAAGTACCATACCCAAGAAACGAAACAATAGTAAATGAAATGACTGGTAAACTAAGTAGATGGTGGCAAAAGTAAGGGTGACTAATGCCAACACAGGAAATCAGTTATGCAATCATCTCAAATAAATATTAAGTCAAATCCAACAACAGTACCACAGGCGAAATCTTACACTTTTTCAAGGACGATTCCCTTGGCATGGGAAGCACCTCCGAAGGGGTTGGCCTTCCACCTGGTTCCAAGATGAGCCTTCTTGTAGTCATTGTCAGCCCACCTCTGCTCACGTCTGTGGTTGACGTGCTTGCGCGCCGTACGAATACCGCGGGGCTTACCTAAAACAGAAAGGCGGACATTGAGTTGACTGACAGAAGCCTGATAGGCTCCAACACCCCTTCAAGAACATTCAAAATGAGTAACCAAACCAAAGGCATGAAGTCGAATTAAATAAAGAGATTGGCACCAAAATCAGATAGGGGCGAAATTATGAAAGACTAAAAGCCATCACAGGTAATCGGTTGACCTATGCAATCATCACTTTTAAATACCAAGTCAATTCAAACGGTACCACTTTCTCTTGGCACAGACTAACTAATTTCCATTACATTCATAACAAATAAATTTGCAAAGACACACATTATAGAGTTGGCAAACAGTCTGAAAACGGCCAACTTAGTCAACCGGCCAATCCACTACAAACAACCCTAACCTCTAAGAAGGTACGACAGATTTAAGTTACAAGCGGTATACAACACGGACTTAAATGAAACAATTCAAATTAAAAAACCAGTATGAAGCGCCTCTTTTTCGGAACTATTTGCGACGTAACTTCAAGATCAACATTTGAAAACAAGTGAAATATGAAATTGTGTTGTGGTTAGTCAATATGAACACCAGTCGGGTACTGGCAAATGGGCCGTAAAGCGAAATTCCACTCACGTTACATCATAATTTTCAGGGGAATTTGCGAACGGAATACTCTCGCAATGGACTTGGCGCAATCAAACAGGTTGAAAAGTACGACAAAGACACACGACACGCGACCACGTTTCCAATGGAACAGGCGCACATCAAGCCGCTACCGACTAGCTTTGATTACAACGTACAAGAGTGCTCAGGTATGATTTAAAATGTTTCCAATCATGGACACAGACAAACTTAAATGAGGTGCAGATCGAATTCACCAAAATTTCACTTAAATCCACGCAATTTGGGAGTATTTAACATGCTAAGACGTACCCATGTTTGCAGGCGTACGGCAAGAAGAGAAGAATCCACCGGAGCCGGAACTTCACGTCGACTGAGTTGGTGAAAAAACCAAAAAGAAGAAGAAAATCTGGGGCACCAACTTTTGAATGACGTCTTGCTAAATTTCATCTGGGAAATAGTAATAGAATAAATTGATGATTTGATTTTTTAAAATCTTCTTTTTAAGAGAAACCTGATAATTTTTAATCCTTAAAAGTTTCCCAAAGCATAACCAGTTTTGGTAGAGAAGGTTGTTCAGCCTTTAAAGTCGAGCTATTTCCGGGTAAATCCCTGTCCGAATGCATGACGGCTAGCACAAACAAGGAGCAAAGAGGACAGTCGACGACAAATCTGATCTGTTTTCTGTTGTGTTATTTTGTACATTTATCGCAATAATTTAGGTGTAAAACATGGCAGCAAATAGTGGAGGAGTGGAGTGGGCCTCCGTCGTGAAACAAATTTTATCGTCGTTTTCCTTTACTAAGAGTGATGTCATCGAACTGTCTAAAGCGATAATAAAAAGGTTTGTGTTGGAATCTGTATGAACTGTCTTCAGACCTAGGTTTCAAGGCACGAAGGTCTCCAATTCAGCTCCTTGAAAGAATCGCATATGTAGAAACGCATATAGTTTCCCCTAAAACGCTATAGACATTTTGGGTTTAGTACTGGTGGCTGGCATCAGGCTCAAGTATTGTCACTCAGCCTAACCCTACGTTATTCCATTCCGCATAACTATCGTTACTGTCATTGTTACGTATTCCCCGTGTGTATAAATAGAGAACCGACCAGTAAAAGTTGCCCCCTGTTCGTGTTACACTTTGAGTGGCCCGAGACGAGTACCTGTTGGTGCTGCATGGATGCCCCTCATTTTCTTGAGAAGGTTATTTTTATCCAAAAATGTACTTCCACCAGTGTTGCACAATGGTTGAGAGGCTTTGGCCGGTGTCTCTGTTTATTTTCGACAAAACTACCTATTTTAAAGACCATATTTGTCCCTGTGACACATTTCAAACAGTAATTCTTAAGTATTAACTCAAAATTGACATTTTTTTTCTGCGAGTCAAATACTTTAGTCAAAATTCCCCATTCATTTGAAATAATTGTACTGTCTAGCATGAAATTATAATGATAATAACTTCTATTATAACTGGTATCTTTCTTTTGCAGTGAACATGAACTTATCAGTCATGATGAAGAACACGAGACTTTTTACACAGTATTTGCCGCACTTGCTGCTGATCACATTAGTGCCAATGTTCGCAATGGTATGTCTGTTTTTATAATGTATTTTTTTTACTGTAAGAGGAAGTTTTCAAATGTTATGTTTTTTATGCAATTATTTCAGTGTGGCGTAGCCAAATTGGTATTGTTACCCAAGCTGCTCGTATATTACTGCAGTACTTATTGGGGAGGCTTCAGGCACAAATGGCCTCAGGAGAAAAGAGTGGTGCGGAAAATGAAACTGTGCCAGCTCTTTCAGCAAAGCAGCTCCTCCTTCCAATCAAAGCTCTTTGCACTGGGTTCAGTACTCTAACAGTTGCAGATGAAGCTACATTATCATGCATGATGAAGATTGCAAAGTTGCCATCTCACATAGCCATCAGTTTATCAGGTTAGATAATATCCAGGTTTTCCAGTGTTTTTCAAAAATGAAAAGTTGCATTTACTAACAATTATTTGAAATATGTTAAAACCTAGGTGACAAGGAATCTTCTCCTAAAGAGGCCAAGAGATCACGGACTGATCTCTCAAGCACCATCCTAGAAAGACTGGCTATGCCAATGCATGATTTTGCTAAACCCAAACCGTCATCAATGACTACAGTGGCGGATAATTCCTCTAACAAAACTGCAGATTCTGTTCCCCCCAATCAAACAGATTCCCTCTATGATGTTGAGGTAAGTGGTCGCCACTTGCAATTACTTACCACTATTAAAAAAATTTTTAAAAGTATAATTAATCCTTTTCTTTTTTTACCTTTTTCTCATTTCAGTCTGTATTTGTAATGAAGAACATTGCTACACTCCAAACTCTGAAAGCTGGAGACCTTTTACTGGACATGTGTTTGTCTCTGCCCAATTTAAGCCGTTACATTCACAAATATAGAGAAGCTATCCAGAAGAAAACCTTAAGCCTTCCAGCCTCCCACTCGGAGGCTTCATTAATCAGATATAGCCTCCAGGCTCTTGTTACTGATCTCACCTTGGCCTGGAGCGCCCTCTCCCTTCCTGTCTTGGAACCTCTCTCGACAGAAAAGCTAGAGAAACTCAGCACACTGACCACATCATGCTTATACGCCGCAATGTGTGTTGCAACTGCCAGTTGTGTGCTGGGAATCACTTCTTCAGGACAGCAGAAATGTACTGGTGGAAACAGTGCCACTTCTAAAGCTGAGGATGATGGATTGGCCGATTCACTGTCAATTACAGTGGTAGAAAAAGCGTTGGATATGTTCAATTTAGCATCAATTGCTATCAAAAATTCGACCAAGGCGGGGGGCCATGTTCACCAAAATCATCTTTTACTTGGTGTGTGGATTTTGGTAACAGGCTTGCAGACTCAGCTCTCCACATCTAGCTCACTTGTACCTGAAAAGAGTGGCAGCACTAAGGATGAAAAGGGAAAGTCTCCAAGCAAGGCTCGAGAAGGATCTAGCCGAATCAATCTGATGAAAGTTCAGCAGGGCTTTGGTGTACTCTCTGTGGCACTGGCTTCCAGAGCTTTTTCCATGATGTCAACACTGTTGGAGGACCTGCAAATTGAAGGTGCCTCAGCAAGTGAAGCTAGTCTCGAGAAACTGAATGTGGGACCTGCAGGGCTGTCCATTCATGGTAACTACACAGCTTTAAACAGAGCTGCTCGGTTCTTGTCTGCTGCTCCTTTGAACCAACTTCTCTTCTGTATTGCTACCATAAGTTACCGCAAAGCCTGTTCCCTAAAGCGAGTTCAGAAGCACCCACCAGAAGGTGACAATTTCAGTACATCTGATTCTACCACCTATTATGAAGATGATCTTATTAGCTGTTCGGAAGAAAGTTCAGGAGATGATGATGATGATGACAGTGAGCCTATTCTTGGACTATGGTTTGAAGAAACAATTTCAGTACCAGATTCTGATAAGAATGGTGCAAGCAACCCAAATGCCAATGAAAGCCAAGATAATAAGGCTGGTCGAGGGGATGAAGGCCCAAGCACTGTGGTTCCCGAAAAGGGTGAACCTAATGGCTACATTTTATTAGCAACTCAGATCTTCCAGTTCATGAACACCCATTTTCTTAGTAGTGAGTCACCTCACATTTGGTCTTATGTTCAGTCTGGTCTTACGGAGCAACAAATGGTCATTCTTGCTGCTATAGTACGAGACTTGGACAGAGAAACAGCTCGCACAGAAACTGGTGAGTACACTTCTGTCGCCTGATTCTACTTTGTTTACCTTTGCATAGCTTTTCGTTATCTTTTTCAAACCATGTTTCAAATTTAAACCATCTAATTAAAATTGGTTTGTCCGTAGGAACAATTTCTGTCTACTTTGGTGCCACTCTAGGGCAGCTATACACAGACTTTTCACAGGCATTAGCTCGGTACAGCCACAATCTCTTGGCTCGCAATGTTTTGAGTCCTACGCTTCAAGCGACTTTACTCAGTCATCTCGGTGTCAGTCCTTGGGCTGCTCCAGCTGACAGTACAACTTCATGCACCTCGTGGCCTCTGCAAGTTTATCCAAGGACTTTAGCAATTCTTGCTCAGGTAACATATCCTTTCAATTTTTCTAACAGAGCTTGGGATTCATTTCAAAACCATTTGATGCTGACTTTTTTGCTGTTTAGGTTCTCTTGCTCAAAACTCAACAAGAGAAAGAAGCTGCTTGTGTCAACATCTGGCATAGACTCATCAACACTCTGGTGGACAATGTCTGTAACCCACCTCAGACTTTTGATGTTGAGAATGAAGATTTGAATGTGGAGCATGCTCAGCTTTTGCTCTTCCTCTTTCACTCCCTGAACCTGATGCAGAAGAAATCAGTTCTTCTAATTACAGCTAGTGGGGTCATTCGGTGCGCTGATGTGCTCTCTAATGTGGATGCAAGTATACCTCCCAGAGACACCCAGCTGTTGCATCTTGCAAGACTGCTTCTTTTGTTGGAATATCTAGTGAAGCACTTGTATGATGCTCCACCATATCTACTAGAACAGGTAATAAAAATTACAATAATAGTAAGTATCCTACTCTGACCATCTGGTTTACTGAAACTAGCATTTTCATTTATTCATTTTAGGTGCAATGGAATCTTTTCTCTGCAACTTCATTGGATGCAGACAACATTGAAAACAAGGATGGCTCCCGACTGGCATCTAGGATATATGTGGCCTGGAGCGATATAGAGAATAATTACAGAAAGTACGGCCCACAGGATGAATTTTCAATGCGACCACGGTTCTATGGTCTTGCTACAGCTGAGCTTAATAATCAAGATCAGCCTAAATTAGATGGTTTGGTAAGTAGAAGCAAGTTGTTGTTTTTAATTTTGTGTAACCAATTGAGAATTAGAACTTTATTTCTATTGTCTTAGGCTTGCAACTTTATTTTGGGGACTCCTGATAAGTTGAAATATCCCCAACTAGTGGATGCACTTCTAAAACTACTGGGTGTGGTAGATTTTAGTGTACCGGTGGCAGGTGCCAACCCTCCGAATTTCACAGCCTTATGTGCAATGCAATACTGTTTCTCGCTCAGCTGGAGGTATGTCTTGTGCTATTCTGAGGTGACATTTATTGCAGCAATCTCTCATTAACAGATCTCATTCATCTTGTTTAGGCTCTTACTGCTGCTTCCTCCATCAACCCCATTCATGGACCGCCTTGCTCTGTCCAATGCCTTGCCTTCAAATTCTATTTTGATGTATTCTCTAGTTTGGGGACCTCGCTCCACATACAAGACCTTTGCTGGCTGGATGAAGGTAATTCTATTCAGCCTGTATTTCTATCACATTTCTCTTTTATTGAACTGATCATTTTTTGGTTTTCTATATCCTTAGGACTGCCTTGTTAAACAAGGGATATTCACACAGTATGCTGAGAATCTCCTGAAGACTGTTTCAAAAGTTATAAATAATCCCAAATATGATTTGTCATTGACCAAGGCATGTATAATGGAGCTCCTTCCACAAGTGCCACAAGGTAGGCATCAAATAACTTTTAATCATGATAATGTTGCAAAGAGAAAGAGAATTAACGCAGCACTGTTTTATTTAATTTCAGGAGGAATAATTCCTCAAGAGCTTCTGCCTCGCTTATTTGATTTGTGTCTGCTTGACACAGTCATGGCTAGGGTTCAAGTTCAACTTGATGACAGCCTCATCAAGCCTCCACCAGATGCAGAATCGTCCAAGTAAGTTACAAACTGGTTAATGAAATTTTTATTGGTCTGATATTCCTTAGTTATACTTGTTATTTTATAACTCTAGGGGTAGTGCTTCCGAGACTCCAATACCAACCAGTGAGCTCATCACAGAGCTGCTGCCATTTGTCCTAGATTTGACTGAGTCAGTCTTGGCTGCGATTCGGTCCACTCTGGTCTTCCAGATGAATGATGCAGTGGATCCTTCAGACTCTGTTGATTTCCGACAAGTTCTATCTGTAGCCTCATCTCGCTCCCCCAAGACGAGTATTCTCGGTGCAGCTCTTACTGTTCATCTCCCAGCAGGAGTGCGAAGTACATTGGAAAGATGGAATGCCTTGTCGTGTTTTGAATTCCCATGGGTGTGTTGAGATTTAGTTTTAATAACTTAATATTCTTTATGACTTAGCAAGTATTTATTTTATGCATACTCTTTATTTCTATTTTGCAGAATACTTATGCAAATGACGTCATTCCTGCGGAAAGTTACTGTTTGAGCGTCATCAATTCACATGTATCTTCATTGTCTTCACATCCAATGTTCAGCACTAATATATCACTGAAGCATCTCCTACATTCTCTAGTTGGTTTTATTGGCTCACATGCGGAGCTTATTGCCAAGTTCACTGGGCCTCAGGCTGAGGTGAAAACTAGAGTTGTCAACATTCTTGTGCCCTTGACGATTGATGCATGCACTGAGTATCTTCATGACTCAGCTGTTAGAGCACTAGAAAAGATCTTGGGTGATGCTGACTCTGAAGAACATCTGAAAACTGTATACGCGGTTGTGTTGGGACATGTCTTTACTCTAATCAACAACTACACACTCAACAATTATTTTGACCCCAAAAATCCCAACAGACCATGGTATATGAACTTCTGCATTTAACTTAAGGTGCTCATTAGCTTTGAGCTTGTGTAACCTGTTGTCTCTGCTTTCCAGTGCACCTGTTGACTGTGGCATTCTTCAAGATTGCTTGGCCTTCTTGGAAGGTCTACTTGATAAACCAGCTGGCCCAGCTGCACTTGAGAAATTCTTTGATCCTGTATCGGGTGGTGGTGATTTGGTGAAGATCTTGCTATCTATTGCATCCCCTCAAACTGCACACTCCCCACAGTACGGCACAAGAGTACTCAGATTTTTCAACAGAATCTTTGCAGCGGGTAATTACTTTAAAATAAAGTTTTAAAAAATATTAAAAATTTTGTTTTAGAAAATTTGATTTTAAGTTGTTGTTTTGTCACATTTCAGAGGAAAAGAGTCCAGGGGATTCCAGCTTGGACCACCTGTGCCATACAATTTCTCGCCTTGCTACTGTGGATGCAGCTGTACTTGAGACATGGATTCGCCATGTTGTTTTAGGAGGTGTTTCTGTTACTAGTCCCACTCCGCAAGTCGTTCCTGCCCTATTGACCTGTACTACTTCTGTAGAAAATGATCAGAATGCTGCAAATGATACCATTGCTGAAACAATGGACGAGCAGCCGACACAACAAACCACCATGAATGTCAGTGTGCCAGCTGCTGCAACTGGTGCTGAAGAACACCAGGCCCTTGTGCAAGAAAACGGTCTGCTTCTGCAAAGCTTGACATCATACATGGTGAAAGAGAGGGGAGCTTCATGTGAAGAAGCTGCAGTTGCTCTTTTGAGAGCTATAATTCCATTTGGAGCTCAGGTATGACTGAACTTTTAGTTGACATAAATTTGTTTTGTTTGACTTCCATTTTGTCTGTCGTCTAAAATAACTTTTTTAAAATTATTAGGTTCTTTATCCTCCACTGGAGGGAACTGGGTTCAGTGAACTTATGGGTGTGATGGCAACCTTAGCGGATGCTGGTACTGGGCGTGGTCATGTTGAACTTCTCACTGCCTGTCCGGGCTGGATGAATATATGTAAAGAATACCTATCAAATCGTGAGGTATGGCCAAAGTCTATGTTAATACGATGTTTCACATTACCTATTTTATTTTCTCTGACTATTGTTGTTTCCTTCTGCCTTAGGCTTTGGAATCCCTAGAATCTCCAGATGGCCCTTCAAGCAAGCAACAAGTAATGTTGGATGCCTGCTGTTGTCTCCTGACTTACATAGCTGATGTATTCAGCTGTTTACCAAGTATGACCCAAAATGCTCGAGCAACGTCACCTCCATGGGAAGGTGAATCACCTCCTGATGTCGACGCAGATTGGGCTGACGATATCGCTCATGACGATGAAGATAGTAGTGCTGAAGATTCTGTAGGTGTTAATATGCCATGTTCTGTTCAAGCTTTACACTTCATGAAACATAGCAGACATATACTAAGAGTTGATTTGGTTCATAGGATGAAGACAGTCTATGTAGCAAGCTGTGCACATACACTATTACTCAGAAAGAGTTCATGAATCAACATTGGTATCACTGCCACACATGTAAGATGGTTGATGGTGTTGGTGTCTGCACTGTGTGTGCTCGAGTATGTCATCGCGGCCATGACATTACATATGCAAAATATGGGAACTTTTTCTGTGACTGTGGTGCCAAAGAGGATGGCAGCTGCCAGGTCTGTATTATTTTATTTCTCTCTCTTCCCTAAAAAATTACCAAGTTCTTTTTATTGTTGTTCAAAATCTTATCATTTTTTCTTGTCGTTCCATCTTCAGGCTTTGGTGAAGCGTAGCCCTCAGTCTTCCAATGAGCATCAAGCAAACCAGATCAATAGTGGCATTGAGCGAGCTGCAAGTAATTCTGGGCCGGGAACTTCTGGAACTTCAGGTGCTGAACAAATGCTCCCAAGTTCATTGCGTCGGCGCGCTTCCTCTCCTGTGAACCTAGATAGGAGTTTACATGTTGTGAAAGAAAAAGTTCGACTTGCGGTGCTTCATGAGCAATTAGGTTAGTTGGGTGTTGAGTCTTTTTTGCTAAATTGACAAATATAACTCCTCATACTGATAGTTTATGTATTGTTGCAGAACACCTTCGAGAGCCCCTAATGCAGATTGTATCTGAAAATCCAATGGCTACAACAATGCTTGAATTGTTGAACAATCTTCTCCCTGCAGTTGATGCTTCATGCCAGCTTGTTGCCCCTGTTGGCTGTCATCAACGTTGTCAGATAGCACTGAAGGCTTTACACAGGCTCCCCAAAAATTATGAATACAATGATCAAATTATGGTTCCTACTTTAGGTTCTCAAGAAGGTGCTTTTGAGAATGTTCGAATGAGCTACTCAGGAGACCAGGGTCAAACCATAAGGCAGTTACTCTCAGCCCACATGGTTCGCCGCGTGGCTATGTGTTGTCTGTCATCTACCCATGGCAAGCGCCAGCACCTTGCTGTTTCTCATGAAAAGGGGAAAATTACTGTTTTACAACTCAGTGCCTTGCTGAAACAGGCTGATGCTTCTAAGCGCAAATTAACACTGACAAGGCTAGCATCAGCTCCAATTCCGTTTACTGTGCTGTCTGTTACGGGAAATCAATGGAATGAAGATTTCCTGGCTGTATGCGGACTGAAGGTAGTGTTGCACTAGATCATCTGGAATGATATGTCAATATTTTTTGATGCTTAGTTTTTTTAAATAAAAACATTTGTGTTTACAGGACTGTCATGTTTTGACATTTAGTAGTGGTGGATCTGTAGCAGAGCATCTTGTTCTACATCCACAGCTTGAGACAGGAAATTTCATAATTCGAGCCATTTGGCTTCCTGGTTCTCAGACTCAGCTGGCTCTTATTACAGCCGATTTTGTAAAGATATATGACCTGAGCAAAGATGCTTTGAGCCCTCTTTACTACTTCCTAGTCCCTACAGGCAAAATTCGGGATTGCACTTTTGTGTGCACAGAGGTATGGGTATAGTAATAACTTTGTGTTGGTGCATTGTACTGTAATTGTTTGACTAGACTTGCTTCTGGAAACCTCCTTATTGACGTCGTGTTATTTTTCAGGACAATGTTATGCACATGATGCTGATGTCATCAGCAGGCGACATTTACAGTCAAGCCATGGATGAAGAAAGCCAGGCTAAACATGGACCATTCTATGTTACTAACACTCTGGAAGTGGTCCATTCTGATATAAGGGTAAGCCTTTTGGTTAAGTATTATAGAAACACTTTTGGATTCTCATTTCATTGATTACAATTTGAACATTTTTTGTTCCAGGAAAACAATGTGCAAGTGTGTGGAGGTGGTGTGTCCATCTACTATTCCCATGTGTTGCAACTACTTTTCTTCAGCTATGCTCAGGGCAAGAGCTTCATTGGCGCTCTGCAGCATTCCAAGGGAGAGTGGTCAATGCCCATGGTCTTCCCTATTGTTTTGAATAGCAGTGGTGGTGCCAAATCCAGTGCTAGCACCAGTGGGAATGCAGCCAGTGGAACCAATGGAGCAAGCAAACCTGCATCACAGCCACTGTGCCAATGGAGTGAGGTCCCTAATCATCCAGGCCTTGTTTGCAGTTTACTCCAAAGCAGTAAGTTTGAATTTTGTCATTCAGTTCATTTTTCTTTTGCTTGTGTGACATTTGAATGTGTGCATTCACACCTATCCTTTCAGGTAATAATCCTGTAATCCTCATGATCAGACCAGACACCATTTTGATTCAAGAAATAAAGGTTGTTCCTGCTAAAGCAAAGATCATGGATATGGTTGCGTTACGGCATCCTTCATCTCATTCTGATCACCGAACAACCTTGATCTTGCTTTGTGAGGATGGAAGTCTGCGTATCTACATGGCTTCAATGGAATACACAGGCTTCTGGCTCTCTTCTAGTGTTCAAGCAACCAGTCCAATTGCAAACTTAAAATCAACCCGGAGGAAGAAATCAGTTAAAACTGTCAAATTGTCAGGGCAGGTTTCCTTCCCTGTTGACTTCTTTGAACACTGTCAAGCTATGAATGATGTTGAGTTTGGAGGCAATGATCTTCTCCAAATCTACAACACTCAGCAGATTAAGCATAGACTTAATACAACTGGCATGTATGTTGTGTCTACCAAACCAACAGGTTTTACATTAGAGGTGACCAACTCTGATAATACCTTAGTCATGACTGGTTTGAGAGTTCTTCTTGGAAGCCAAGACCAAACTCGGGCTCCATCTTATGTAGAAATATTTGGTAGGAGTATTGAGACCATAATCACCCGCAACCGATGGTTTGATATTCCTTTCACCCGAGAAGAATCCTTACAAGCTGATAAAAAAATCACTGTGGTCTTTGGTCCATCAACTGACCCTGATGGTGTGACCATGGTTGACTCTGTAAAGGTTTATGGTAAAACTAAAGATGTGCTGGGCTGGCACGAAGAGCAGGAAGAGTCTGTCAATCCAGCTCCCTCTTCTGCACCTCCAGCTACTGGAACACCAACAGAAACTGACACCAGTGGAAATGCTCTTGCGCTCCCTCCTCTTACTTCACTGGACCGTATTGTTGCTGGGCTCTTGGAGGTACTTGATGGGTGCTTCACTCTGACCAATCACTTGAACTTGGACGAGACACGACTCAACCAACGGTCCAAGGCTCTTAACCTGGCAACAACATTGTTGACCATGCCAACTCCGGTTTGTGTTCAAATGTACACAAAATCTCTTCTTGTAGCTCTCCATGCAAATAGGACTGTTTACCACAGTTACAAGGTAGGCATCCTTTTTGAAATTGAATTAAGACAGAATTTATTATGCTAAATATCCTATTTTACAAATGCATACTTTTTTCATTCAGGATCATGCTCTTCTGACTTATGTGCAACAATCGCTTGCTCAGCTGCGTGCCATCCAAGATCCTTGCGATCTAGATGCAGAAGCATTTTACCGGCTTGTCCTCATAGCTCGAGGGGTAGCTGTGACAAGACCACACAACTTAGCAAAGTTTGCTGACACAAGAGTTCAATACGACAAGTGTTTGGTTGACGGTCTAGCTGAGACAGAAAAACCTAAACCTGATGACTCGAATCATCTTCTGACGCATATGATGTCAATACTGTGGGACCTTCATGGGGCCCACCCTTCAAACCTGGCTCTTGCACCAGTGTGTGTGCCCGGCTTGACCCACGTTGAAGCAACTGTTCATGCTATGGTTGAAATTATCCACGCGTTTACCATCTGTGATATGGAGGGCACCATGAGCTTGGCTGCCAACATGTACCGAGAAATGCTAATGCACGCAGACCCAGCAGTGAGCTTTAGTGCCAAACAAGCCCTTTGTCGTGTGTTGAGGCCGAGATCCCGTCGTCGTCGTGTCTTTATGTCTAGTCCTCCACATTGCAGCACACCAGGTAGGTTGTGTCTTTAAGTGCAAGTTTTGTTTACATACATATTAATATACTCATACATTGCATCTTGGAGAGGAGTTGGTGAACCAGACATTGATTCATACTTTTTGGGGTGGTGATAACTGTAAATTAAATGTGGTTTTACCCCTGATGAAACAAATTTGATGCTGTGTAGGGGGCACAACTGAGATGGAATCTGAGAAAGGGCCGGTGTCACAACCGTCTCAAGATTCTTCTGAAGCCGAGCCACACTTTGAGGTGGATCACGTAGAGCCTCTGATGTTGCTGCAAGCTGATGGTGAGATCAGTAGAAATTCAATGCTGGCACGCAGCACGCTGGGCAAAATGTCTTTTCCATTTTTCTTCTGATTTACTAACCTTGTACACTAACTAAAACACTTCAAGGTGGAATCATAGCATGTATTCCATTGGGGTTGTCACCCTGAAGTTGTGTGGAGGAGCTCTAATTCCTTGAATCAACAGAGGCTTAGTGCTTTCACATGAAAGGGAAGCTTGCAGCAGCTTATAAATGCATCTATTGTTCTGTGTTTCTTTTTGCGCCACCCTGCCTTGAAATCAACTAATTCTACTCACATTCTGTGACTTGCAAGATATGGACTGTGTTTGTCACGCTAGAAATTATGTACACTTTTCCAAAAAATGCTGCTTCTTGAATGCAATAATGAAGCTTCTAATACGATGCTTTGACCATCATTTTAATGTACACCATTCTAATAAATTTCTTTCTCCAGGAGCTCCTGCCCCTCCAGCTGTTGGAGCAGGCCCAGGCGCTGTCGCCGCCGCTGTTGGTTTGAACATGAACCAGGTAGAGGGCCTTTTGGTCGGTGCCTTGGGTGGTGCTTTGGGCAATGTACCTGCTGGATTTGCCCCTCTTCTGGACATTCCTCCAGATGCAGATGACGAGACTATGGTCGAATTAGCGATTGCTCTCAGCTTACAGGTAAAAACCATTTCATTTTCTTGTCTGGGTGTGTAAAGGAGTCACTTTTTCTTCTGGCCTGGCATAGAAATTAATTTTTTTTTTCATGAATGCAGGATCATGATGGTGCTGACCTCCAAAACCTGCAGCAAGGCCTTGCTAATCTGGGTGGAAACCTTCAGGTTAGTGTTTCACTCTATTTAAGTTACTTCTTTAACTCTATTAGACACACAACATCAATTTTTTCTCCTCTTTTTTTTTTTTTTTTTTGAACAGGGTCTTGCACAAGGTTTAGTACAGGTAGGGTTGGCAGCTCAGGTGGAGGCAGTCCAAGCAGAAGCAGGACACTATTCCGACACCACAGCTTCAGCTGGAGGCTCTGATGATGAAGGATCAACAGCTGCCACTGATGGGAGCACTCTCCGCACATCGCCTGCCGAGCAGGTATATTGGACGCAGTTTTGTGGCTACCTGTGTTAACAAATATTTATTCTGTATTAGGTCTTCATTGTTATGCCCATTTTATAACACATTATTTTTATCTTATTCAGGGAGGAAGTGCTGGCTCAGAAAGTGGGGGCAGTGGTGTTGACAGTATAACTGGTGAACACAATGTATCTGGGAGAAGTTCTGCTTATGGTGACAACATGCAGGAGCCTTTAGTCGGTGCAAGAAGTGAAACCAGCTCATTGGGTGTGCCAACTGGATTCCAGGTAAGGATCTTGCCCTGAAAACTCCATATATGCTCCATTGTGCACCTCTCATATTCTTAAATTTTCCTAATCAGGCCCATGAGACTGATGGTTTGTTAGAACCTGAACCTGACCAAGAACCAGAAACTGAAAATTCATCACGCCTGCATCAACTACGTCTTCAATTGTTAGAACGCCTCCTTGAATATGTTCCTCAGCTGAAGGAAGTTGGTGGTGTTCGATCCATACCTTTTATGCAGGTTTGTTCAGAGAAAATTGTGTATTCTTACCCTTGCACTTTTACATCTGTAAATGGATAAAAATAATTATGTGCTTTTCAGGTTCTTCTCATGCTTGCATCAGATCTCGATGGAGAGGAAGAGAAAGACCGTGCATGTCTTGAGAACATGCTGAACACAATTATTGGAGAGCTGAACATGCGAAAGCCTAGTAATAAGTATACATCTATTTACCAACGATCAAATGAAAGAGAAGTGCACTTGGTTATCATGCGTTTGCTTAGTAAGTTAAATTTTACATCTTTCCTAATGTATGAATCAATGTTACTTTCAATTATTTACATTTTTTGGTCCCTTGCCTTCTCAGGTGTATTGATGTGTCGGTCTAAATCAAATGCAAAGTCCAGCCATGATAGCTCTGCCTTTGCTGCACAGATGTGTGCTGTTATGCTCTTCCAGGCAGGTGTCATTGACTATTGCCTTAAGTTGCTGAAAGCCCTATTAGCGTACTGGAAAACGTAAGTAAAAGAGTTGTAATGTTGTTTTGTGCTATAGAATCTATTTCCTTACTCTAATAGAATGGACTTTGGATCCTGATTACAGCACCACTCTTGAAGAGTCAGCTAGTACCCCAGGATCTACACTGCTCAAACCTCACCTACCAGCTTCTCCTCCAGATATGTCTCCCTTCTTTTTACGGCAGTACGTCAAAGGACATGCCCATGACGTCTTTGAGTCCTACCCTCATTTGCTAACAGAAATGGCTCTAAGACTACCCTATCAAGTGCAGAAACACTTGGACAACACACCACCCATACTTGTTACCTTTGAACAGGTATGTAATTGCATTTTGCCTACCTTTTACATTTTGATAATAATTCATCTTGTGATTACAATTTACAAATAATTTGTTGTTACAGGCCTGGTTCTATTATTTATGTGAATACATGATGATCCAGGAAACTCCATTTGTCAGGCGTCAAGTTCGAAAGCTTCTCATGTTTATTTGTGGGAACAAAGACAGGTACAGACAACTACGAGATCTACATTCTTTGGCTTCACATGTCAAGGTCAGTAGTATTTATTAGACTGCTCTAGGTTGTTCATGCACAGCTCTTGTCCATCAACTAAGCTGTCCTTTTTTTTTTTTTTGGTACCCACAGACTGTTATGCAATGTGTCGGTGAAAACAACAGTCCAGACTCTCCAACACCCTCTCCTCAGAATTGGGTGCAGTTGCCTTATGATACCTTAGTGGGTCTTGTCGAACAACTCAAAGCTTGTGTTGAGATTGCCACCAGCCGCACCCTTAATTGGCAACGGTACTGCATGGGTGACGATCACATTCTGCCTTTCCTCCTTCGAGCATCCTGTATGCTCGATGAAGCTGTCGCACCACCCATTCTTCAGCTTTTGGAATGTGCTGTGTGTTCTGCCAAGGTAGGTTCTGCTAAGTTCCTGACATCTTTCAAAAAATTTATCAATTACTTGGCTTTTTCTTCTCATGCATTCCTATTGGTTTTTTCTTTTCAGGAAATTAAGCAGGCTGCTGCAGCTGCAGCTGCTGCTCAGTCCACAAACCCACCTGCTCCAACAACTGTACCACCACCTCCAGTCCTGCGGAAGGACAGAGAAAAGTCTGATGACTCTGATCTTGAGCAACGCTTCGAAGATGCTCAGTGTGTGACGCTAATCAAGCAAATCAATTCTCAGGTATTTATAAATTATCATTTATATTTGATTGATCTTTATTTTGTACATGTTATCTAAGTTTTGTTACTACAAATGCAGGTTCCTCAAGAACAAATATCACAGTTTGTGAAAACGTTCCTTTTGGAAACAAATGCTACGTCGGTTCGCTGGCAAGCACATGCTCTTATTCTAGCTATTTACAAAAATTCTCCTGCTGCTGAGCAAGAAAAGCTTCTTGACCTGATGTGGCAGCTGTGGCCTCAACTACCTATTTTTGGACGGAAAGCAGCTCAATTTGTTGACTTGTTGGGATACTTCTCTTTGTGGACTCCCCTTTCTACCAACAAGGTACAGACAGGAAAAAGAGATTATTTCATTGTTCTAGCTCTACCCCTAAAAGATGACTTTACTAATTTATTTATTTTTTGTCGTTTGTTTTCAGAGAACTGAATATATTTGTGCTGCAGTAGGAGTTTTACGTGCACAGAACCAACTTCTGGCTCATCATCCAAATGCCAGCTTGTATAGTCATTTAGCTCAATATGTTGAACTAGATGGTTATTACTTAGAAAGTGAACCCTGTCTTGTTTGTAATAACCCTGAGTTACCAATGACCAGCATTAAGTTGTCTGGAATTAAGGTAAAGTAGTATCACACTGTGAAATTTAATACCCCTGTTAAATTTGCATGTAACCCATTTTTGCACATGTTTCTTACTATTTTTGTTTCTCTTAGATTGATTCAAAATTCACAACGACCACTCAAATTGTCAAGCTTGTCGGCAGCCACACTATCAGCCGTATCACTCTCAGAATTGGTGATCTGAAGCGTACCAAAATGGTACGAACCATCAATATTTACTACAATAACCGTACTGTTCAGGCTGTTGTTGAGCTTAAAAACAAGCCAGGTATGTAAAACTCTCACTTTTAACTTAACACCAGTCATCTGACTTCACACTTTATTTACTATTATTTAAAATAAAATTCTTGTTGCTCAGCTATGTGGCACAAAGCTAAGAGGGTCAACCTTGTTTCTGCTCAAACGGAAGTGAAAATTGAGTTCCCCCTTCCTATTGTTGCCTGTAACCTGATGATTGAATATGGGGACTTCTATGAAAACATACAAGCATCCTCAGAAACATTGCAGTGCCCACGATGCTCAGCATCTGTTCCAGCCAATCCTGGAGTGTGTGCAAACTGTGGGGAAAATGTTTTCCAGTGTCACAAATGCAGGTTAGTCAATCATTCACCATCTTTTTTTCTCTACTTTCACCTAATGCAAGTTTCAAGGTATCTTCAATTTTTCTGGAATGATAATGGTTATTTTTCAGAGCTATAAATTATGATGAGAAGGATCCCTTCTTGTGCCATGCCTGTGGCTTTTGCAAGTACGCTAAGTTTGATTACACTCTAACAGCAAGAGCTTGCTATGCTGTGGACCCAATTGAAAGTGATGATGATAGAACAAAGACTGTTGCTACAATCAATTCTCATTTAGAAAAAGCTGACAGAGTTTATAAACAACTCATTAGTAATAAGCCAACACTAGAGGTAAATTCCTTAGATAATCTCAATGTTTGCTGCAAAAAGAATTTGGCCTTAAAAAATTAATTTTATAAAACATTTGTTTTGTTTTTTTTATTAGATGTTCCTCCTCAAAATAAGTGAGCATCGGCAAGACCGATCCTCTGAGGAATCAGCAACTACCACAACTAGCAGTTCAGGAGTTGGCACTCAAGTAAACAGAGCCATTCAATTACTAGCCCAACGTTATTGCGGAGAGTGCCGTACTTCATTTGAAGAACTGAGCAAAATAATACAGGTGATTGTCGGCCGAGAGGTTCACATTGGCTTTTCTGTTAGTCTTTTTTATTTTATTAACATGTTTGTATTTTTTTTCAGCGTGTACTTGCCTGTAGGAGAGAGTTGGTTGCCTATGATCGTAATCAACGAGAGCAGATTCCTTCTGCACCGGAAAGATCCAGCAGCAGTCTGACTAGCACAGCAAACGTCAATGATTCTTTCCCAGCGGGCCACAACCCTGGACGTTGTTTTGGATGTGCATCTGCTGCTACGGAGCATTGTTTGACTCTACTTCGTGCATTAGCTTGCAGCAATGCTTCTAGACAAGTACTTTGTGCCCAAGGCTTAGTGGCACAATTAGCTGACAACAATCTCCGCAGAGGCACTGTGCAGGTACTATTCCATTCACTATGCTTTGCTTGCTCTTTCTGTTTAGTGCTGAGTAGCTTACCTTGTAATCTTGTTTTCAGGTGCAAGAAGAAGTACGCCAACTATTATGTTTGTTAACGAGAGATAACCCCAAGGCTACAGATGAACTTTGTACTCTCTTAATGGATCGAATTGCACTTACTCTGCGAGGACATCTCACCAGTGCAGATTTATCAGCTTCTGTGCGTCATGAAATGGCTCTGTTGTCTGCTCTGGTGCACAAGGAGGACTCATGCTGGGAGCAAAAGTTGAGGTTTGTCTCTTTGATGGGTAGAGTTGATGTTTCCAATGCACTCTATAATTCTCAATTTTTATTGCCTTTCTTCTTTTTGTTTTTCAGATGTGTCATGCAATTATTCTTGATGGCATGTAAAGACTCTAACTCACCTGTGGTCTTAGAATCAATCACTCTGCCGTGCCTTAAAATCCTCTCTGCTTTCATTAAACCCGGCCAACCGAGTTCCAAGAAGAACAAAGTAAGCCAACTCTCCACTTATTTACTGTCTTATTTTAATGTGATTGTTTGTTTTGACCTGTCTAAAACAAATTAGAGAAGCCATTTTTAGTTTAATGTCTCTATTTATTTATTTTTCTAGGAAAAAATGATTGGTGATTTAGCAACAATTTCTCCTGTTGAGGGAGTTGTTGTCAATGTCCGTAAATGGCTTAGTGGTGATCCAAAGCACACATATTCTGCCTGGCATCAACACATGCCCAGGCGCAACAGTGACACGCCCTCACCAAGCACCACAAGCCCTACTCCATCCAAAGCAGAATCAAGAGCTCGCTACCTTATGGAGAAATATGGTCAAAGATGGAGGCAACGAACATTATGCCATGCCATGCCTTTGAAGTTAACTGATACAGCATGGCTGAAACAGGTTCTTTTCAACCCCAGCTCTCGTCTTGCTAGGATTGTCGCATGCAGCATGCTTGAAGGCCTGTGCCGAGTTCCCGCTTGGAAGAAAGACATTCTGGATCTTCTTACTGGCTTCCTTGGTGAACTTAGTTCAGCTGGAGAAAGTGCCTCTGATTTCCTTGCTTTGTATCAAAGTCTGCTCTACCAAGCTCCATGGAGACAGTACTTGGCTGTTAAAGGAGTACTTTTACATTTAGCTGATTTGCTTACAAAGGAAATTGAAATATTGCATTGTCTGGAAGACACTACTCTTACGTCTGACCTTGCTCAGGGCTATGCACTCAAGCGTTTAACTGAGCTGCTTGCATCCTTCCTTGTCGAGGAGAATATCAAGCAACAATTTAAGGGCCGTTTAGTTGGGGCTGTACTGAATGGATATCTTTCCCTGAGGCGGCTTGTAGTGCAACGTACAAGACTGATTGATGACACTCAAGAAAAACTTCTAGAACTGCTCGAAGAGATGACCACAGGCACAGAAGAAGAAACTAAAGCCTTTATGAAAATCTGCATTGAAACAGTTCAGCGATGCAGTATTCAGGATGTCCGTACCCCTGTTTTTATATTTGAACGTCTGTGCTCTATCATTTTCCCCGAGGAAAATGATGTTGGGGAATTTTTCCTCTCTCTTGACAAAGATCCACAGCAAGAAGATTTCCTTCAAGGGCGGATGTTGGGCAATCCATACAGTAGTTCTGAAGTTGGACTGGGTCCATTGATGAGGGATGTGAAAAATAAAATTTGTCAAGACTGCGAGTTAGTGGCACTGCTGGAAGATGATAATGGAATGGAGCTGCTGGTTAACAATAAGATTATCAGCCTGGACCTCCCTGTTAGAGAAGTTTACAAGAAAGTATGGGTTGCTGAAGGAGGTGACGGTGATGTCATGAGAGTTGTGTACCGCATGCGAGGCCTGCTGGGCGATGCCACTGAAGAATTTGTTGAGACACTCCATGCCAAGAGTGAACAGGAAGTGAACAATGAAGAAGCATACAAAATGGCAAATGTCATGGCAGATTGTGGAGGATTGAAAATTATGCTAGACCGATTAGCAGCTATTAAAGATACTTCAAGGTCCCGCCCACTACTACAGGTGTTGCTGAAGCTTTTCAGATTGTGTGTGAAAGTGTGTCGGAACCAAGAGGTGTTAACACAGCCGGAACTGGGTGCCATGACAATTTTCCTGCAGACCCTGCAGCTCTGTCTCACAGCTGAAACGGCATCACTCACCCAACAGCTGCTCGACATCATGGAGACAGTGCTGTCCAAGTCAGCCTCACAGCCTCTGGCAACTTTTGTCAGGTTCTCTCATACCTTTGGAGGAACAGAGCACATAGAGTCTCTGCTCACTTGCACTACAGCTCCAGCTACGCGGAATAATTCATCTGTCATCCTTCATCTTGCGAGAGTTCTTGCTGCTATAACATATGGCAACGAAGAGAAAATGGCACTCCTGTGCAATCATTTCCAGTCTGCCCTTGATTTTAATCGATTTGATTATGAACACACCTCTGATGATGAACATAAATTAGAACTGTTCTGCATCTTGACTGCAGGTATTGAAAGGAATGCTATAGGAAATACTCTGAAAGATTACATAATTTCTCTTAATATTGTTAAGCATGCTCTTGAGTACATAACAAGCCATGCTCCTTGTGTTAAGCCGACTCTGTTACGAACTGATAGTGAAGAGTGGAAGGAATACATCTCAAAACCTGCTCTGAAGTATGTCCTACGTTTCCTAACTGGCCTAGCAGCTGATCATCCAGCTACACAGCTTGCAGTGGCAGCTGAATGCATCCCCATCATACATCGCCTTGAACAGGTGTCCTCTGATGAGCACGTTGGCTCCCTTGCAGAAAATCTACTTGAAGCATTGCGCACTCATACTGGTGTTGCAAACCGCATTGAAGAAGTCAGAGAGCAGACAAGAGCAGAAAAGAAGAGATTAGCTATGGCAATGAGAGAGAAGCAGCTAGGCGCTCTCGGGATGCACACAAATGAAAAAGGACAGGTGACAGCCAAGTGTAATATGATGCAGCAGTTGGAGGACCTTGGTGAAGAGACTGGCCTTGTTTGTGTCATCTGCCGAGAAGGTTACAAGTTCCAACCTAACAAAGTCTTAGGAATATACACATTCACAAAGAGGTGTAACATAGAGGAATTTGAGAGCAAAGCACGCAAGACTGTTGGTTATAGCACCGTCACCCACTTCAATGTGGTGCATGTTGATTGTCATATGAGCGCTGTGCGGCTGGCTCGCGGCCGTGACGAGTGGGAGTCCGCTGCTCTGCAAAACGCCAACACCAAGTGCAATGGCCTTCTGCCTCTTTGGGGACCCCAAGTTCCAGAATCTGCATTTGCCAGCTGTCTTGCAAGGCACAACACCTATCTCCAGGAATGCACTGGACACAGGTAATTAAAATCTGTTGTCCCTATTTTCTCCATTGTTACTAAAATTAAATAATCAGTACTAATTTTAAATGTGTTTTTTTTAACTTAGGGACATTGGATATGCATCTACTGTCCATGATCTCAAGCTGCTACTTCTAAGGTTTGCTCAGGAGAAGAGTTTCCATGATGACACTGGAGGTGGAGGACCCCAATCCAATATGCATATTATTCCTTACCTGATTCATATGGCCCTCTATGTGATAAACACGTAAGTACTTCCCCTCCAAAAAAAGTTCTTGCGGGATTCTTACAGACACAAAATAATGGCAATTTTATGTTATTGCAGGACTCGATGTGGTGCTCGAGAAGAGAAGACTTTGACTGCTTATGCAGATGCAGCTCCTAATGAGAGGTGGATTGAAGTGAGCTACGCCTCAGATGGACCAATGTATTGGATGGTGCTGTCTTTGCTTTTGCATTCACCCTTGCGTTGGCAGACTACAAGAATTTCACACTTGAAACGCGCCATAGCAACAGCTCAGATTCGCCACATATCCCCAACACTCCCTACATCTTCTGCTGGGACAAGCAAGTTGACTGATGCTTCCGTCAAAGACTATTCCGTCTATAAACCATATCTCATCTTCTTTGGTTTAGTTGATGGTATTTACTCCAACTACTTGAAGGTGAGTTAGCTTTTTGTATTTTATTATTTTGTTGCATTATCATTATTAATTTTTGAATTATGAATTGAACTGAATCGCTTCGTGCATTGCAGAAGGTTTCCATGACTTCATCCACGGAGGATCAATGGCCATCTGCTCTTGCAGACTACATCAGACATAATGATGAAGCTCTGATGAAAGCATCTGAGCGCCTCATGGCAATGTATCGCGAAGAACTGTTACCATGTGCCACTTTTGATGAGTTCTGTGATGTTGCTAGTAAGTATTTTTTGCTCTTAATAAGTGGACCAGTTCCCATTGCAAGTTATCAAAAGACAAAAACCTAATACACGGATAACATAATAATTCATCTGCCTTAAATATTTTAATCTGTTTCAGATCTGCTAGAAGATATCCCCAATCCAATGTTGTTCTTGGAAGAAGTGCTTGAGAGCCTCACCTGAGGTCACTTAAATTTTACAACTGGGAAACTAGTCTTATAAACATGTATGTAGTCTTGAACATGTGACTTAAATTATTGTTATGGTTAAATAAAAAGTGATACTTTAGATTTTGTGAAGTGTTTTCACATTTTGTGAACAAGAGACCTTTTTTTCAGTTTCTAACATCTCTATGTAATATTAAAATTTTAAGGAAATGTATTATTTTACTGTTATTTTTGTGATGTTATACATGATGTACAATGTTATTATTGCAAATGGGCAATTTATGCTCCCTTAAAACTTTAGAATTTTGTATAACTTGTCAGGTATATGTGGACTTCCTCTTATTTTGTGTTTTATTTTAACAGCTTGCAAAAATGCACTGTGATGCTTTTGTGTTAATGTGATTGAGTATTAAAATTGCTGTCATGCGTATGTAAATTACACTCTAGTCATCTTTTTCCATCCCTTAAAAAATGTAGTGGCTGGCTGGCGAGCAAAAGCATATCATTTGGCCTTGCATGTCCCATGCCGGGGAAACGGGTGGGGGAGGGGAGACGGAGTGGGGGACATGCCGACGGCGAGTGGAAAGTGGAGGGGGAAGGAGAGGCAGCTGCTTTCCTACTGTGCTGGGTGAACACCACTCCCCACCAAGCGCCTCCATAGCTCAGTGGTTAGAGCACCAGTCTAGTAAACTGGGGGTCGAGAGTTCGATTCTCTCTGGAGGCACGAGCCTTTTTGAGAAGTATGGTATACTGATAAACTAATGTTAGAAGCTTCAGGAGTACCTGCATCTAAATTTGTCGTTTATTATTAATGATGCAGTTAACCCTTCTTTTTTTAAATAAAAAAAATACAATTTGAGGGGAGGGGGTATGGAAAAGAGCAAGGGGCAAGATATAATGTAAGTAGTTTTGAAAGTTTTTAAGGAAATGAATATACATACATTGAAAACGCTATACACAAATAAACAAAGAAAAGCCTGGTCTAGGGATAATATATTAACAAAGAGAGGGCATAAGGTTAAAACTTGAGCAGGAAAGTCCTGAATAAAATAGTAACTGGTAGGAGTGATAGATATCAAAATATTCAGTATCTTGACAGCTCAAATTTTCACATCAAAATCACATTATATCACACCAAGCCCATCTCAACTCAAGACTTCTGCCAGAACTTAGCACTACTGCCCCGCAAATTTTTCACTCTAAATCCCTTCTTAGATTTGTCTGAATGTCCTCCGTGCAATGCGTCTCGCATATCAGTGTTCATACCTTCATCAGAATCTTGAGTCTGTGTCTTTAATGTCTTTTTTATGTTTGTAATCTGAAATATCACAAGATGAGACAGTGAATTTATGACAAAGTCAATAGGTAACAACCAATGGTTTCATGAGAATTGACAAATACCTCTTGTTCAATGGACTCTTTGTGTTTGAGCGATTTATTTTTCTGGGCATTTGCCTTGTGAATTTGTGTTTCCACACAAGACAAAACTGCCTCACAAGCATCACACCAGGCTTGGAGGGTGGAACTTATCTGAGCCAAATCCCCTGGCTGTGTGTCTCTTCCAATGGCATAATCAAGTTCAAGCTGACTGTTACGCTGGTCTAGCTTACCATGGATTATATCTGCAAAGAAGTTCAAAATTAAAGATCTGATACAAAAAATTGTCGCAAAAAGTAGCACAAATTGAAACTAACCTGAATAAATTGCCTCAATGATGAGATCTTCTAAATCTCGTACATTTTTTATATCTAACTCTTGCAGAAGAACTGAGTAGGGAATGCACTGTAATAAGAAAGTGGAGTATGGTCACACGATAGAAAGACATAATACAAACTTGTACAAGCAAAGTACGAAGAAAACTCACCTTCATTTTAGTGGCAAGACTAACTATAGTGAGATGTTGCAATTTCTTTTTCATCACTGGAGTTAACTCTGGAAGTTTCTCCTTATGTTCTAAATATTCCCGGAAGGTCCCAAAGGCAAACAGCCTCAGCAGCTCAAAATACATTGAATGAGGTCCATTTGCTAGCTGAAGAGCAAAAATAATAAAATAAGAAAAGGACCAATTACGACCAAAACAGTTTTCATGGCAAATACCAACCTCTTTGATATTATCTGTGTCCAGAAGTTCTCCAAAGACATGAACCCCTGGTGCCTCAAGGACTTGTTTAACTAACTCGACAGCAGCTGCCCCTCTAGCTGCTTTGGCAAGAATGACATACTGTTCCAGAGGGTTGCTGCCTCCAGGACAGCGTTCCTTTTCCGCTTCTTTGTCGGTTTGCATCTCACAACTCATCTCGATCTGAAAAGAAAACGCCACAAGTGTTAGAGAAAGGGACGATGATGCGTGACAATCATCGGAACAATGAAAGGCACTTCGGAATAACGTCAAAATGACATTTCCTGCCGCAACCACTAGGAAAGAAAAGCAGAGCGGAGGAGAACATAACCCTTCAACCCATTCACAGAAAATGCATGAAATATCCATGGAATTTGAACGAAACAGGAATATTGCAGTTAGTTGGTTTTAAATATCGAATAATTGACGACTTACGGGAATATCAACGATAACTTCACAAAATACCGAAACAAGACAAACTCTGTTTGCGACTGCTACAGCTACATCTGCAACTGCAGCAACAGCAACCAGCCGCAAAAACCACAAATCGTAGCAGGCGGTGTGAGAACCCCAAAAGTACCAACATATCATACTTATGGACTTTTGTTAACACGTCTTTTTTTACATTTCCAGGATCTCATTTTGCTTTTAAAAATTAGATAAAACACTAAAAAGTATAAAACGGAATAACTCTAAACGCATAAACGATTTATTCAAATTTTGATTTTCCTTATTTCTTATTTGTTTGGACAGATCAAGGTTGTAGCTCTACTTTCAGGAGGCTTGGAAAACCTAACCTCGAAGACACGCTGCCTACTGCTGCTACCTGCTACCACGCACCTCCCGTTGGTTTCTGTTTGCATTCAAAGTAGCAAGCTCTAAAATGAAGAAGAAGGCCAGTAAAGTTGTGAAGAATGCAACAGCGAAATCAAAAAAACTGAAAGATATGTCAGTTGACGACTTCATGCAGAGTTTCGGAGAGGGTGCGAGTGATAGCGGTTCAGAAGATGAACAGGACCATGCGCCTCAGCCCCAAGCTCAAGGCAAGTCCAAGTCAGTGAATGGCGTCAACGGGAATCACGCTCAAAGCAGTGACGAGGACGAAAACGACGATTCAGCTGAAGAGGAGGATGCTGGTGATGGGGAGTCTGGAGAAGACGAAGAGCTTGATGGAGAAGAGGAATCTGGAGATGACGAGGAACTTGACGAAGAAGAAGTATCTGGAGAAGACGAAGAGCTCGATGGGGAAGAAGATTCTGGAGATGACGAAGGAGAGGAGAATGATTCTGGTGGAGAGGATGATGAGGAGGATGCTGCGGACTCTGAAGCCGACTCTGGAGATGAGATGATGGTTGGTTCAAAGCACAAAAAGTCACTGAATAAGTTAAAGGATCTGGACCCAGAGTTTTATAAATATCTACAAGAAAATGATAAGAAGCTGCTTCAGTTCAATGCATCCGATAGTGAATCCGAAAGTGAAGCAGATGGAGATGAACAGGTTCACCGCCCTGGAAAATTAGATAGTGATGAGAGTGATTTTGAAGGAGGAGATGATGATGATGATGAAGACGATGACGACAGCTCGCCTAAGAAGAGAAGCGGTACTGTTACACTTAAGATGGTGGAAAAATGGCGTGCTAGCCTGCAGTCAGAGAAAAGTGTGCAAACTATCAGCGATGCTGTGGAAGCTTTCCATGCTGCTTTAATGCGAGTAGCCCCTGAAGACGAGCGATCTGCTTGTGCTTATAAAGTTGACGGCAGTGCTGTCTTTAATGCTGTTGTTCAGATGTGTGTGCTAGACTTGCTACCAGCTCTTCGCAGATATCTAAATCTGAGTGAAGTTTCACTCAATTTCACTAACCCAGCCAAATGCAAGCGTTGGTCTAAAGTCAAAACACTTTTAAGATCTTATGTAACTGATTTACTCCAACTACTTCAGGGTGTTGCATCAGTGAATATTTCTACAGTGGTCTTAAAGCATTTGCACCAGATGACTCCATTTGTTGTTTGCTTTTCTGTTGTGACCAAACAATTTGTGAAAAGGATGATCAATTTATGGTCAACAGGTGAAGAAACTGTCAGAGTTGTTGCTTTCATGTGTCTTTTGAGAGCTACATCCCTCCAGAAGAATACATTACTGGATCAAACTCTACGTCACATGTATTTAGCATATGTTCAAAATACTAAATTCATCTCTCCAAACACTCTCCCTGGAATCAGTTTCATGAGAAGATCTCTTGCAGAAATGTTCCTTCTGGATGAAAATGTCTCATATCAACATGCATTCATGTACATTCGACAGCTAGCTATTCACCTGCGGAATGCAATCACATTACAAAAGAAAGAAGCCACTCAGTCAGTTAATAACTGGCAATTCTTTTCATCCTTAGCTCTATGGGTAGAAGTGCTTGGGGCTTCAAATAAGACTGCTCTCCAGCCTCTCCTTTATCCAGTGGTGCAAATCATAGTTGGCGCTATCAAGCTTACTCCAACAGCTCAGTATTTCCCTCAGCGTTTTCATGCTGTACGCCTTCTGGTCAACCTCTCCAAGAGTACTGGAATCTTCATCCCAGTACTACCTTTCTTGCTTGAAATCCTGAATTCGTATGACTTCAACAAGAAACACACCAAGGTATGTTTAAGTTCAGCCTGTGATGTGATGAAATGAATGTTTTTTTTTTTTAACAAATTAATGGCATTTCTTGTATCTGTTACAGGTTTCAATGAAACCTCTGGATTTCAGTTGCATCCTCAGAGTTTCCAAAACACAGCAGCAGGAAAATGGTTTCAAGGATGCTGTGATTGAAAACATCTATAGCTTATTACTTGAATCTCTCTCTAATGATTCACAATCTGTAGCTTTTCCGGATTTGGCTTTACCCACTATTTTTCAGATTAGAGAATTCCAAAAAAAATGTAAAGTAGCTAACTACACCAGAAAGTTTAGACAAATTTTAGAAAAGATTGAGGAAAATTCCAAGTTTATAGAAATTGAGAGGAAAACAGCAGCCTTTAAACTCTCTGACACCAAGGCTATTGAAGACTGGGAAACTGCAGTTAGGGTGAAGGGCACTCCCCTAGAGAAGTTCTGCACATCGTGGATGAAAATGAATGCTGCAAGGGAAGCAAAACTGAAGAAGGATACCATTGACATCTCTGAGAACCTTCCCAAAATTAACAGAAACTTGAAAAGGAAGAAGGGCAGTGCAGAGGGTCCTGTCACTCTGCTTCCGTCTGATGATTCGGACTCTGATGGTGCTGACTTTGGTGATGATGACGACGATGATGAGGAGGTTGCTAAGAAACCCCGAGGCAAGCGTGGTAAGAAGACATCAGCGGGAGCCAAGAAGAAAGTTAAGATTTCTCACAGCCAGAATGATGATGACGATGGTGCTGCAGATGTGGTGGAAGATATGAACCTTTCAGAGTGGTGATTTGATTAGTGTAATATCGATATTTGGCCTTTTGTGAAAGGTATCATTAATGGTACTCTCTGTGTACAGTGTATATTGTTTTGTAACTTTAAGATAATAATTACTCTTTTAGTGGAAGGCGATAAATTTAATTGACCTGTTTCCTGTTCATACTGGGTTATTTTTAGAAATTTTATTAAAACTATTAAGATATTAATACACAATGGCTTTATGAACATTTTGACATGATATGTAATCTCCATTCAATGACTACGTATATTTTATAACTAATGTTTCCTAGGAGGGCCAACAATTTGATCTACAGTGGTCACAAGCGCAGTCTGATTACAATTACAAACTCTTTGATTCTGAAAATCTTTGTGTACACTTACATGCTAAGCTCCAATGACATTAACAGAAAAACAATTCTTATTGAAGAGATATAAACCCCATTTCAGAGTACATCTAAATTTCTTTGCTGCCTTTTGATGCTCTGCTCAGCTTCAATGATGCCTGGCCTAAACAACATGTGGAATTCAACAGATTGCCAGCATTCAAAAATGTAAAATTTGTAAGAGAAACCTTATTAGAGAATAGGAAGGTTAGCAGGAAGCATAGAATCTGCACATATGCAATACAGTTATGTCATCACAGAAAATGTATTCATGATTAATAATAAATGTGGATGATATAAAAACTTGTCTTTAAAAGGATTATTTTGACATTAAATAAGCATAATATACATACACAACAGCATATGATGCATCTATAGCACAAATCTTACATAAAATTGACCCAAAATCTTGCACCTCCAGTTTCTCTCAGTCAAAATACTCATATAAAAAGGAAGGAAGAAATGAGGGAGATTGACAACACAACTTCAATAGGTGTGGCCGTGGCCAGAATACAAGCTCCAAACAGCACAACTACTGTCAGTCATACATTCATCATTCTTTTATTTTTAAAAAAATGCTAAAAGGAACTTGTAAATAGTTCAGAACTCAAGCGTTCAATATTTTACAAAATAAATTATTCATAAATGGTATCATCAAAAATAATAAACCACAAATGAGAGACATGGGACCTAAAATGCACTTAACTATGGTATTAAGATCCCAACAGTGTCACTTCATAAAACCCAAGGTCAAACCTAAGGTTTGACCCTCAACAGAAGTGCTAGTCCACCTCAAGAATACCATGGTTAAGCCATGTCTGGAGTATACATAAGGTTTCATGGGAGTCTTTTATAATTTATTGAGGAAATGATGAGCATTTGAAATAAAAGCTAAAATAAATAAATAACTCATGCAATGCAAGCTCTGTTTGGACACATCAATGTTAAAAATAAGAGTATGACTACGAATTAATGAGGCTTTGAATACCACTTCTCAATTAACATTTCAATAATAAATTAAACTGAAAAATGAGTTTAAGAAAAAGGCTACCCGGAAGCACCTTTAACGAGCAAGCTTAGCCAGCTTTGGACATTAAGAAACAAAAGAAATTATCACAATTAATGCATAAAGGACCAGAATTACCTTCAATGAATCAAATTCTGTAATTTGAAGGGAGAGAGAAACCCTGCGTATAGTACTAGAGCTGATACAATACATTCTGAAACTACTGGGCCGGGCATCTGTATGCTTCAATAGTAAGCAGACAATCCATTGCCATTGAATAGATTTTACCAATTGTCCAAAAACTCGAAGCCTGTTTTGGGGATGTTGTCAGCTCCAGCAATAGGCTCCATGAAATCTGGGGCCGTTTCACGAGGTGGTGATGTCACTGATGGACTGCGAACTGATGTTGAAGCTGTTTCCATGTCTGATGCCGAGTCGGTGGTGGTCATAGCAAGAGACTCAGCAGCTGATTTCATGGTTGCTGACTTGGAAGACTGCGCAGCAGAAAGTTCTGAGCTCCAGCTGTCGCCAAGCAGTGCCATACGTTCTGGGTCCATGGTGGCCATTCCTTCACAAGAGGACTTGCGCTTTGAAAGAGGTGGAGGAGGTGGTGGTGGTGTCTTGGGTTTAGAAACAGGGGGCTTTGGAGCCATTGCCTTGTTGTGCTTGGCAGGCAGAATATTGATCATATTTTTGCCCTGAACTAAGTTTTCCCGGTCAGATTCCACACTTTTGCTTCGAGAGGCATTTTCAGTAGAACTTTTACCATTGGCCACATTTTTCAATGAATTTGGAATTTTAAGAATGGCTGTTTTGTTCTTAAGCTTACTGAGAAGGCCGGAACTTGGAGTATCTTCAACATTCTGGGGAACATTGTTTCCAGTTCCGTTTGTTGTTTGAGCTCCATTTACTTTGGCAGGAAACTTCAGTTTGGCACCAATCACTGAAGCCAGTTTGGCTGTGTTTCCAGCCGACCCTCCAAGGACAACTCTGGGGTGGTCAATGAATGGCTCACCATTCCCACTAGTATTGTTAGTAGTTTCAGTCTCACTCTCAGCTTCCTTAGTGTTTGATTTTAAAGTAGATTCAGATTTTGGTTGAGTATGAGGGCTTCTAAATGGGGGCAGTCTTGGTTTTACTTGAGGCGGAGACAAAGAGTTAAAAAAAGTCACTTTGTCGCCTGACAAGGTCAAATTCAACTGGCTTTGAGTGAGCCATGAAAATGGAGCTGAATGCTCGTCTCTCCACGTCAATCCCTAGAATAGGAGGGGCACAACAAATTAAAAATCATTCATCTGAAAACCATTGAAGACAGTCAAGAAAGACATTTATCATAACAATGAACAAGGCAATACTTACAGATCCTTTGCTACCTTCGTCATCAATAATGTACTTGCCACCGGTCTGAATGTTCAGTCGGGGCGAGAACTCGGGTTTCTCCAGTGAGTCTTCGAAAGCATACTTGAGTACGGCTTCGGGATAGATTATCGTTTCGTCTATAACCTGTCTCTGTTCTTCAGCACTGAGAGTATTCCACAGCTCTTCATATGCATCTTTGGTTGACGCCACATCTGCCGAAATGCGCTCGGCAATCGAGTTGAGCGAATGGAAATACTCCTCTGCAGCCGTTTGCAGAGAAGTTGAACTCATTGTGCTAGAGTTCACAACACTTTGTCGTCGATCATAATAAACCAGTGTATTTACGCTGCGGGCGCCGCGCCCACGTCCGGCGTCTTCTGCTGCCGAGCTGCGCTCTCGCTGCCTGCTGCCCTCTTGCGGAGGAACGCCGTACTGCGGAAGGGGGCGGGGCGCGTGGGCGCGTGGCCTGTAGTTGTTCAAAATTTCGGCAGAGAAAAATCTTTCTACAGTCATCATCACATTTTTATTTCCTCCGATCAATTCATTCGCCTAAGTAGTTTCACATTTCTTAAAGGTTGGAAAAGTACTAACTAAAATTAAAGCTGTGTGTGGGCATTTGGGAAAGGGGGAGGGGGAATGCCAAGATACTTGAGGGGCCGTGGGGCCGCTGAGATCAACTGATACAGCAACATAATACAGTATACAACAATCAGTCACATCATTTGGCCTCTGCCATTGCACAGGGGCGCTACACTGAAATAAAGAGAACGCCTGCAGACCCCAGGGAGGCCAGCCCGGTGTACTGCTCTGTTCATTCCAGTGAAGCACGACCTGTTCCTCAATTACACCTACCTATGGGGAACAGTACATTATTTACTCGGGAAAACCTCGTTGAAAGGGACCTTGGACAAAATTCTGTTGGCAATATCCTGGAAGGCCTGTCCGAAAGCGTTGGAGATGGCGGGCTTCAGGTCCTTCAGGATTTCTCGGGAGTTATCGTTGGCAATCCTGTTCAGAGTCGCACCTGTTCGAAACAAAAAATAAAATAAGCGCAAAACCCCCGACTCAGCGGCCCGGCGCGTGACGTATGGAAAAACAAATAAAAAACCGTGACAACAGGAAAAATGTGTGAAAACTTTTTTTTACTTGAATTGATAATCTAAGATACTTACCTAGAGCCGTGCCGCCAATTTCTTTATCGTGAAAATTGAGAGTGAAAGTTTTCTGCGAGAAGTCGAACTGGAAGTCGTCCACTCGAGCAAACGTGCGTCCGTCGGGGCCCTTGTACTTGGACAGTGCCAACCGGCCGTCGACTTTCACAGGGTTTCCTGAAGGAAGACGGCAGTTACAGCAAGACGAAAATCTCGCACGTAAGATGACTTTTATGTCGCTTACCCAGAGTGATGTTGCACCTGCCGGTCCCTCCGATGGGCACCACCAGAAGCCTACCCTTGACGGCGTAGTCACCGCTCAGCACCAGATCGGACTTGATGGTGCCTCGACTGAATTTCAAGACGCCGTTGGGGATGTCCGACCTGGAATCCGAAACCCAGGTTCACGTCTCACCTGGCGACCACCTCATCACGCATTGAAATGGAATTCATGGAGGGCGTAGTTTCAACTGACTTGACTTCTTCTATGTTGAGGTTCTTGAGGCCGAAGATGTCCAGGTCGAAGAATGTGAGGTCTAAGACGAATGAGCCGGATCCGGAAGAGAGACTGAGCTTGGTCACCCTCAACGGGTCGATGGGGTACACGCCCAGGGACGGCGACCCTGCACACCATACCGAGCGAACCATCGTTAGCATGAGCCCAGCTCGTCTCAAAGACGTCCTTGACGAGCACCTGCAGTGTGCATACCCTTGACGGCGAGGTCGTGGATGGCGGTCTGGATGTTCTTCGCCAGGCAAGCGTCAGTCCCGGGCTGGTTGATGACGCAAGTCTGCCATGTGGATGCTGCGTACGAAATATTAATAATAAATTGATGCATATTTGTTAGTGATTGCACGATTTTAAAAAAATTATGCAAAAAATACACGGGACGGGCCAAAAAGGATAGTTGGTCGAAGCGATCGGATGATGAGTTGGCTGATATAGTGACCGAGCTTTTTTTTTTCAGTGTTCAATGCTTGTCTGTCGGCATATCTACAACTTTCAAAATGCGTGTTCTTTTGGAATCTTTTGTCGGGCTGTTGGAAGACCGCGCAAACTTACGCAGCTTGGCGGCGTTCGCCCCCGCCACGACCAGCAACAGCGCGGACACCAAGCAGGCCCTCATCACGTCGCCCGAGGTGATGTCTGACCGAGTGTCTGACCGCGCCGCACCGCCACTCCGCCGCCGTGACGACTGCCGCGACTGCCGATTCACGGTCGAGGACACTTGTTTATATAAACCCGTTCCTCGATCCGGACGGCTGCAGGCTCCAGACCGGGCCCCCTCCCCCTCCCAGGGGGAAGTCCTCGGTGCCTCCGGGCTCCAGGCAGCCAGCCGGCCATCGGGCAGGGTAGAGAAAGGAGTTATTGACGGGGTGGGGACTGAAAAGCTGATTCCGAACCGTGCCTCCATCACGCTGTCTCTCTCGCACCTTCACGGGACGCCCCATGAGTGCGACAGTGAAGCAGCGATCCCTTCGGAATCGGCCTGATGGGACGGGTGGACACCTCGTCTCCGTGGCCTTGGCTAGCCTTGGCCCTAGGTCTGTGCCACCACCAGGCCACCAGGCCGTCAGGCCGTTAGGTGGCAGTGCAGCCTCGGCCTCGGCGCCATGGGGCGCCACGGGGTGCGGTACAGTACGGCACAGTACGGCTCGGCCCCGACGATCCTTGCGTGCAATTGCGGTAGCGTTTTCCCTGCGGGGCTGCGGTGCCCTGGTGTGCCCCGGCGTGCCCTGCGGTCTCTTCGAGGCTGGGAGACACGCCACAACGCACTGTACACGACGCAGTGTCCACTCCGAGAGACCGATCTCGTGAGTCACCAAACGGCTACAGAAATATTTTCTCCAAGTGCCGCGCGGGCGATGAAGATTCTTGTTAAAGCGGCAATAAACGCTCTAGCCCCGCCCCCTCCTTTCCGTCGCGCCTTTTTCCTTTATTCTCGGCGCAATTGGCAGTCGAGGCCCTGAAGCCCGATTTGCATCAAAAGGCCCACCCGAGGCCCCCTTGTAATTTCAACAAGTCCATCTTTCGGCGACTTGGAGGCGCCGCCAAGTTTATGAATTCGGCTTTGGCTCTGGATGGGGTGGGGGAGGGGACGCGAAGGAAAACAAATAGTACTTATCGCGGCGCTGTGTTTGCCAAGGGCCTCGATACGGTGCCAGGGCGGCGTTAGCCGTCAGCGACCTAGACCTAGGGGACCACGGGGACCTAGGGCGAAGAGGGCCCGCGTTACTTCGTCTCTCTGTATTGGAAAACGCTACGCGCTTAGATTCTGAGCGCGTGAGCCGGGTGCGAGTCCTAAGGAAACGCCAGGAATCGGCCTGCAAGATGACGCCTTGGTGACGAGTGCGTGTCGTCGCCGTCGTCCTGGATCCGCCGCACGCAGCCGCACGCATGCCCATTAGCTGGCCGTCGTCATCGGCCGCCTCGGCGCAGTGAAGGGGCCGGCGTAGAGCGTCGCGGGGATCACGGCCACGGAGGGACCGATTCCGCCGTTCAGGCGGTGCTCTGCAGCACGCAGACTCCGAATAGTGCTTCTCTCTCGCACTCACGGGGCGTTGCGAAAGGGTGCGAGAGAGACGGAGCGACGAAGCGCTCTGCGGAACTTGATGAGGTGGGGGCTTGGGGTGGGTCAAGCCCTGGGTCAAGCCGTCGAGTGGAGATCACGCGGCTTGTGGAAGGTCACGGCGCCGTGTCAGCGCAATGTCATGGACCGGCAGGCGTCGCTCGCACTCATGGGGCGCTCCGTGCAGGTGCGAGAGAGACAGCGACGAAACCAGTCCGTTGCCCGGTGGCTTATAATAGCCGTGCCCCGCGGCAAGCGGGCAAGCGCGAAGCTCGTGGTGTCTTGCCGATTGTCATTGCTCTTTGGTTGACTTTGGTCCGTCTCGTTCTCGTTAGCGGGACAAGGTGGCCGCCCGCCGGCAGACTCGACCCGAGAGTCGTCTTCGTCGCTCTGTCTCTGTCGCACCTCCAAGGGGCGCCGCACGAGTGCGAGAGAGACAGAACGATGAAAACGACTTTCGGAATGTCTGCTCGCCGGCAGGGCGGCAGGGCAGGGCGGTCGAGCCGACTGAAGCGGAGCCGAAGCCCCGCCCACTGCTGGGCCGCTGGGCCCGAGTGAGTCTGCTCGAGTCTCACCGGCAGAGTCGGAGTCGCACCGAGTGCAGCTCGCTTGGGTGCTTTTGGAATCGACTAACGTTTGTCTTGTCTTTGTCACGCGTGCCGCACGACTTCGACAACGACTACGGCCACGACTCGCACCCAAGTCGCGCGGACAGTGGAATCAGTGGAATAATCCCGACGTTGCCGACACCCACACAGTGGCACACACGTGCACCGGCACCGGGGCACCGGAACCCGGTCAGTAGTGCCTCAGCGGCGCGGCGCGCGGCGGCCAGCAGACGCGGCGGAGCGGCCAAGGAGCACGGGAAGTGTTGTTGTTGTTGCCAGAAAAATAAACAAAAGGCGAAATTGACGGTGTTCGGTGTGACCTCAACACGGTAGCGGCACCGCTGTGCTTTCCCCCAGCAGAATCGCGTCCTCGACGTCGCAAAAAGGTGAGAGAGAGACCGCATGTGTCGACCGGTGTGGCGGTCGGCGTCTCGCTCGGCTGAGACCTTTTTTGACACTTGACCGGTCTGCAAATGTTCCGCTCCGGCGGCTTCGAGAAATTTCGAAGGTTGTATCGTCAGTCTTCCGCTACACGCCTGAAACTTGTGTGACAGTGTGAACAGACAGCAAAAAGTTTGTTGGTGGGAACCGGTAGTATTTGAACCCGCGTCCCCAGAAACCGGCGCGTCGGTGACGGCATACTGCTTTCACTGAGCCGGGCGATTACGTGGAGAGGCCGCACCGCGCTCCGCCACGCCGCCTTGACGGACTGCCTCGCGGGGCGGTGGCGGCGGCGGCGGCGGGGGTCGCTGCAATGTCAAGGCCGCGGGGACCGCCCCAGCCCGAGCCCGAGCCCCAGCCCCAGCCCCCAGGTCGGCACCACTCGTTAGCGTGCGTGAGAGAAAGATGCAGGGCGCGTGCGAATAGGCCAGCAGGGAGACTGGCTCCGCGAGTGCGAGAGAGAGAGGGAGTCTCGGAGGCAGCCTGCGGTGTCTGTCGCTGGGTGCGACAGAGACAGAAAGACGGGCGCAGCGGTCCGCCACTCCGTACCGGTGGGTGATTCCCCTGAGCTTCCCTCCAAGTTTCTGGGCCAATTGGCCGTTCCTTGTTCTTCGCGGACGTTGATGGCGATTCCGGGAGCGTCCGCGTCGTTTCTCACGGCGGCGTGGCGCTTGGCTGCGCGTCCGACCTTGACACTGTGTCACTGTTGTGTTACGTGGTTTTTGCACTGCGCCGTGCCGCCCAATCGCAGTCGAACATGCCCGGCCCATCCATGTGTCCGCAGGCATCCGCATCGCTGTGAGCCGAGGCAGCGGAGAGAGTCCGCAGCATGGCGGGCCGCGGCGGCGGCGGCGACCAAGGCGGTGACCGGGCCGCTGGAGCGGCTGGAGCTGTCGACCTGGAGATGGCGGTCCAGTCTCACCAGGACAAAGACAAAGGTAAGCCGGGGGATCTAATACCTTTTGACCGATTCGTCGTCGCCAACGTCTAAACTGTGTGGCCGGCATTCACTCGATATCTCGATCGCGGTCGGCCGGCCGAGTCGACTGATCGACCCGCCGGCGAGGTGGGCAGCCCGACGCACTCGCGCGCGTGCTGCTTGCCTGCACAGTGTCACGGTCTCTGCAACGCTCACCACGCTCAGCCGTGTGCCGCCCTGTTCCCGAAATACCGCGGCCAGGGTCCCGGCATCCCCGCCTTATCTGCCGGGGATTATGCCTTTCTGGGAGGCGCTCCTTCCACTTGGCGGCGCTTTGACTCATTGATGCGGTGCAGCACTGCCGCTGTCCGCCTGTCCGTCTGCCAATCCGTCCGTCCGTCCGACTAGCCCGTCCTCCTATATGTCTGTCCAGCGATGCGATTCCGTCGCTCCAATTTGCCTAATTGATTCAGCCCGGTGGCGGTCCGGTCCGGTTTATACAACACTACAGCGTGCGGACCGATGCGACACTGGGGAAGGGGGTGGAGTGCCTACTCGCTTCGATCGTGTCGGTTCGCTGTACAAAATTGTACAACGGGTACGTTACATGCGCTCTTTCGTTGTATGCACGTATGCCCCATAAAAGGGGTTTTGTGCAAACTTTTGGGCGGTCTGTCGTCTGGTTCCGAACTGTTTGCTTTGTCGCTGTCTCCCTCGCACCCCTACGCGAGGACGCTTGAGGCAGGCTCCAGTCCCAGCGGTGGCGTGCACCAGGCGCACAGTTTGCAGGTTGAGGGGGAAGGGGGGGGGGGGTGTCGTCGTTAGGAGTCTCAGATAAGGGCCGAGATTCGGCTCAGTCGATCCCTCACGCCGGATGGACGCGAAGCAGGAGCTGGGTGAGTAGAGCAGCCAGCAGCGCTTTCGTCGCTCCGTCTCTCTCGCACTCATGGGGCGCCCCGTATCGGTGCGAGAGAGAGAGCGAGGCAGCGACGAAACAGTGCGGGGATTCTCACGATGCATTGGTGCCTATCTGAGCCTTCCTAATGCAATAAACCTACAGACAACTTGTCCACTGGGCAGCTAGGCCACCCTATCGACACGGACGCATCGTGGAAAAGTCGGAACGTGTTCGGTGGCAACACTGTCTTGTCGCAATGACGCGCGACCGTCTCGCATTATACGGATACACTGCTTGAAAAACGAAAGTACCAGTCTCGCTCCGGGCAGTCGGGCGGCCGTGCTTTCTGAATAACTTTGTCTTTAACACCGTCTGCAGTCACTGCTTTTTATCACATGGACGAGCGGGGGGAGGAGGAGCGGCCCCAAAAGAAATAAAAGTGTTTGTTTTGCCGACGAGGATGCCAACTTGTCCACGGTCCGACAATTAGGAAAATAATTGGTTTGCACATTGTCCGCGTCAGACTGCACCAGACGTTGCTTTCCTGCTTTGCGATTCTGCCCTGATTGCCCCGGTTCCGCTGGTTCCGCTGGTTCCGCTACACCGTGACGCTCGGTCCTGCACAGTCCACGTGCACGACGCGCCAGGCCCGCCCGCACCGACAGAGGGCCGATGCTCTGTCTCTCTCGCGCCCCGACGGAACGCCCCGTGAGTGCGAGAGAGACAGAGCGACGAAGCATCAGGCAGCGTAAGGCGGGCTTAGACCGAGCCCGCCGAGATCCGCACAGACTTCAAAGGTTTCGCCTTATCCCCCGTTTATGGCGGGCGAGGCCGTCGCCGACAAGCTGCTACTCTGTTCTCCTTCCTCGGTGTCTTCTCTGACGCGACCTTGTCCTTCACCAGGAGCGGCGGGGCGGCGGAGCGGCGTGCCGTACGAGGAGGCCATCGCCCTGGTCGGTGAGTGAGCTCGGACTGCGGAATCAAAACCGACAACATTGCGGACATGGAATGGGCCTTGTTGTTGTTGTCCAGGCCATGGGCGCTTCCACTTCGGCCTGCTGCTGGTGTGCGGCGGCTGCATCACCGCCACCATCTGCGAGCTGCTGGGCGTGGGCTACCTGCTGCCGGCCGCGCAGTGCGACCTGGAGATGACGGACGCCGACAAGGGCCTGCTCGGCTCCATGGCCTTCATAGGTAAGCCCGGCGCAGGCCCGCAGGGCCGCGCCACTTCCAATGTTTGTCGTTTCGTTTTTGTTTATGTTTGATTGTTTTTGTTTGTTTTGCAGGCATGCTGTTCGGCTCGCACCTGTGGGGGTTCCTGGCGGACACGACAGGCCGGCGCAGCGTGGTGCTGCTGACGCTGTTCGTGGACACGGCCATCGCCGTCCTGGCCGCCCTGGTGCCTGTCTACTGGATGTTCCTGGTGCTGCGCTTCCTCGCCGGCTTCTTGTACGTCAAGATAAATTAACACAGTATCACTTAAAGACATTTTTGCTCTCTCTCTCTCTGTTTTTCTTTTTTTTTGCGGTTCTTTTAATTGCTTTAATTTTGTTTTACAGCGTGACGGCGCCACAGGCCGTTGGCTACGCGTACCTGGGCGAGTTCCACAGCCCCGCCACCAGGGCCAAGGCGTTCGTCTGGGCCGCCGTCTTCCCCGCCATTGGGCTCATCTTCCTTCCAGGTGGGGAACCATGGAACTCGCGCTGCGAGCGCGGAGCCGTGGAGCGCGGCCCGGAGCGCCTGCGAAGGCGGGGATGGGCAACCCGCCGCACTCCGGTGACCGTGCGGCGGCGCCGCCTGCCCACCTTCCAGGCGCTCCGCACCATTACCATTACCATTGCCGGCTGACTCGCTGTCTCCTATCCCAGGCGTGGGCTGGTGGGTGCTGCCCATGACGTGGTCGCTGGAGCTTCCCTGGATGGCGGCACACTCGTGGCGCCTGTACGTGATCCTGTGCGCGGTGCCGTCGCTGGTGACGGCGCTGGGGATGTGCGCGCTGCCGGAGAGCCCCAAGTACCTGCTGAGCCAGGGCCGCGCCGACGACGCCCTGGCCGTGCTGCGCAGGGTGTACAGCGCCAACACGGGCAGGCCGCCCGAGGAGTTCCCGGTGAGTCTTTGGCCTCGGTGACGTGTCTGTCTCACTAGCGAGGTTCCCGTCGCGCACGCTGTCGCCGTCCACAGGTCGACTCTCTGGCGCCGCCGACTGACCACACCGCGGGGCACGCCGCCGGCGCCGACCCCAAGTCCATCGCCGCCGTGATGCGGTCCGTGTGGAACCAGACGGCGCCGCTCTTCACCCTGGAGCACGCCCTGTCCACCTTCCTGGCGCTCTTCATCATGTTCGGCATCATCGCGGGGTGAGTGCCGAGTGCCCTTCGTCCAGCGAGTGCGAGGGAGACCGCTGCACCGTGATGATGGCTTGGACGCCGCAGCGCCAACGGGCTGCCCACGTGGCTGCCGGAGCTCTTCAACCGCATGGCCATGTTCGAGTCGACGCACGAGGGCCGCAGCGCCAGCGTGTGCGCGTCCATCGAGGGGCTGCTGGGCCCCGCCGCCAACGGCTCGGACACCGCGGCCGCCTGCGAGGCCGTCGTGGAGACGGACGTGTTCGTCAACAACCTGTACGTGGGCGTGGCCGGTGTCATCGCGCCCGTGCTGAGCGTGTTCCTGGTGGGCCCGCTGGGCAAACGCAGCCTGCTCAGTGAGTATCCAGTATTCGCTTTGCCCTTCCCCCTGGGGCTGCTTCTGGATCCGCCACTGGTAAGCAGCGGAGCCCGACCCTCGCGGCAGCGCGCGCCACGCGCTGACAAAGGCAGGCATCCTTTGAGTCGCGGCGGCGCGGCGGCGCGGCGCGCGTGGATTCGGATTATTGGAGCGTGCGGCCCACGCTCGGCCCAGCCAAGCGCGCCAAGTGGCTCCTGATCGAAGTGGAAAGATGAGAAGGCCAAAGGGGCCAAGGGGCCCAAAGGGTGGAAGGCTGGAACCGGAGGGAACCAAACAAAACGGAAACAAAAACAGAACTACGCGATTGCCTCGCGGGGCGTGAAATGCGAGAGGCTCGGCATCTCCAATGACTCATGTTGTTGTTGTTGTCGTCCTTCCAGTCCTGTCCCTGCTGCTGACCGGCGCGTGCGGCCTGGGCCTGCAGTTCGTCGACTCCTCCCTGGGCTTCCTCATCCTGGCCTGCATCGTGTGCGCCGTCACCGAGATGTGCATCTCGCTCTTCTCCAGCATCGCCGTCGACATGTTCCCCACGCACCTCAGGTAAGCGCGCTCTGGTCGAACTCGACTCGCGGTTCGATCTAATTAGGCCCACTCCTTAAACTGAAATTTCCTCTCCTCCAACAGCGTAGCGACGAGGGAATGAGGGAATTTTGAGCAAGGCTTTGAACGCAATGGACACTGTTACAGGGCCATGGCGGTGTCGCTGTCTCTCATGTTCGGCCGGCTGGGCTCCATCGTCGGCAACCTCATGTTCGGCTCGCTGCTGGAGTCGGCCTGCCCCGCCACCTTCTACGCGCTGGGCGGCGTGCTCCTAGGTAAGGCCGGAATGGCCCTCGCGTGCGCTCATCATTGCGAGAAAAATGAAGGTCGTGGCTGTTGTCTAATGTTGGTGCCACAGTCATAACCTTCGTTTATTTTAAGAGTGTTGCGCCGTGTGACTGACCCGCCACTGTGATTGCTTGCAGCGTGCGGCGCGTTCAGCTTCGCCCTGCCCCGCCAGGGCAAGTTCCAGCACTGATCCACCTGCCGCCACCACCCCCGTGTACATACCTCCGTTTTGCAATAAACCGTTTTGTTACAAAGCTCGATTCTCTTGTTTTTTTTCGGCTGTTGGCGCGAATCTCCGCGGCGCCGCCTCTGGCTCTGCCTCTGGCTCCGGCCCAGGCGAGGCGTTTCGGGCGAGGCAGCCCTGGCAGCCCAGGCTTGTAGGCTCAGACGAGCGAGCACAAGTGGCTGGCAACGAGGGGAGGCTTCCTAATCCCCCGCCTCCCCGTCAAAGGGGCCGGCCCCGGCCGCGCCGAGGGCTGGCTGGCTGGCTGGCTTTGTTCTCTCACAGGACGGGCCTTTAGCCCCTCACAGGACCAGCGACGCGCATTCGACTTGGCGCCCCTCGAGAGGCTCGCCGTTGTTGGAGTGAGTCCTCGCAGCAGCCTAGCGGTGCTGCCACCACCACCACCGTCGGCCTCCTCGTTGGCGTGGTGCCGCGGCGTCGTGGGCTTCCCTGCCACCCGCGCCTGCCGCGAGGACACACTGGAAACAACTTCATTCTCGTTGCTTTTACGCGAACGACGCATTACGGGTGCGTGCCCCCTCCTACCCAGACCTGCCCTGCCACTTGTCAGTTTGACAGCCTTGCGATTCGGTGTTGTTGGCAATTAACACCTAAGACTCCGCCGCTCGCCGTGAGGACGCAGGGCAGACAGACGCAGGCCCGCAGGCCGCGGGGATCAAGGTCCTGATAACGTTTTATGGCGGCTCGGGGCTCGGCCGTCTCTACGCTGCACGCTGCCGAGCGATGCCGAAGGACCACGTCGTCGCTCTGTCTCTCTCGCACGCCTTCGGACCGCCCCGTGAGTGCGACAGAGACAGAGCGACGAGGCGATCCGTTTTGGAGCGGCGCGGCTGCACACGCTGCACGCCGAGCGATGATCCCAGCCTGTTGACACGATGGCAGTATGGCAGCAGCGTGGCGTCGACGGCTCCGATTCAAATTGCCGCCAACTTGGACGCGGCGCCGCGCCGCCGCCCGATTTAGTTTGGTTTGGGCCGAGTTGTTGCGCGCGGCGCGGAAAGTTTGGAATTAATGCACTCCCCCTCCCCTCTCCCGTCTCCCCGCGCGCGCACGCAGCCGCTGCTACTGGTGGCGTGGAGGTCTCAACTGTCTCAACTGCAGTTTTAGTTTGGTTGATAACGCGGTGACTTTGTCGCGGGAGCAAAGAGTTTGGGCGCCTGTCGACAAGCTAGGAACGCGGACACGCGCGGTTCGAGGGTCCGTTCGAGAGGTTTGAGCTCTCGTTCGAGGGTCGCGCGCGCCACCTCGAGTAACTTGACGGTCTCGAACTTAGCCAGGCTGCGGTCGTAGTTCCACAAAACAAGGAGACACTGCGGGACTAATTTCGGCGCCAGTCGCCCACGCCGCCATCAACAGCGCCATCAAGGCCGCGGTGCAGGCCCTGCAGGCCCTGCAGCAGCGCGGAGCGAAGGCGGCGCCCCGCGGCGAACCGACATTAGTGCAAGAGGCTCTCACTCTCCCTCTCGCTCCCACCCTTCTGCGCTTTTGCTAATTTACCCCCGGCCCCCGCCCGCACTCCTAGCAGTAGTTTGCCTCGCCGGCGATAATATCGTTATGCCGCGCCCCACCCCGCCGCGCCCCGCTCCACCCCGCCGCGCACCCCTCTTGCGGCTGGAAATACGAGCCATCCAAACTATTAAGCTGGCGAAGTGGTGGCGGTGGTGGCGGCGGGGCGGCGGGGCGGCGGGGCGGGGCACGTGACACCACATGATAATGAGTGGCGCGCACCTCGGGCCGCGGGCGGCGGCTCCACGGCCGCGGCGTGGTGGCGTGGCGGCCTCGGGCTGCTCTTCCTCTCAAGGCGCGAGGCGAGCACCGCGGAACGCCGTCAGGCTGCCGCCAGGCCACGCCACCGGGCACCGCGAGTAGCGCCCCGTCGCTAACGTCCGCGTCGGCCGTCGGCGCGTGGCGCAGCGCGGCCGCGGCCACCTCCGTCGCCAGCACCTGCATCCAGGCCACCTCCGCCAAGGCCGCCTGCACCAAGGCCACCTGCACCAGGCCACCGCCGCCACGAGCAGCACCACGACGCGGAGCTCGCCATGGGGGCGGTCCCCTACGAGGAGGCCATCGCCCTCACAGGTATGCGCGGCGCGTACTGCCGTCTTGCCAAGTTGAACTATGGGTGAACCAATTTTTTTACCGCCTGCTGCAGGGACGGGGCGGTTCCACCTGCTGCTGCTCATCATCAGCGGCAGCACCATCACGTGCACCACCAGCGAGATCCTGGGCCCCAGCTACTTGCTGCCGGCCGCGGCCTGCGACCTGCGCATGTCCGACCTGGACAAGGGCGTGCTGGGCGCCATCGTGTATATCGGTACTGTGACTCGACGACTCGATGTGCCTCTCTCAAACCCACTGGGGCTCCCGCGAGAGCGCGAAAGAGACAGAGCGACGAAAGTACAGTGCTGCGACTGCTTTGTTTACACACTCCTCTCGCCGCGCAGGGATGATCTTCGGCTCGCACTTCTGGGGCTACCTGGCGGACACGGCGGGGAGGCGCAACGTGATCCGGGTGACGCTGTTCGCCGACGCCGTGGTGGCGCTGCTTTCCGCCTTCGCTCCGAACTACGCCGCGCTCGTCACCCTCAAGTTCCTCAGCGGCTTCTTGTAAGCGCACCGCGCCCCGCCGCGGGTGGGGGGCGTCGCCGCGAACCACTCCCCCCCCCCTCTCCCCCTCCTGCCTTGGACGCGACGCGCAGCGAGATGGAAAAGAGGATTCTTGACATCTTGCCTTACCGGAGCAAACGGAAAGTCGTTTCGTTTGGGTGACGGTTTTCTTGATTAGCCGCGCGCCTCGCATCATGTAATTTATATTTCCATTTCTAAAACGAAAAATTACAAAAATAAAACCAGCACGCCAAAAGGGAGCATTTCTGCAAGGGCCGTAATTAGGCTTCTCCCTTCCTCCCCCTCGCCGCACCTCGCCGCGCGGCCCGCTCGACGTCCCTGGCATTGCGGTGGCTCGCAGCTCCCTTTCACATCTCGTATTCAGGACTAAAGGAGGTGCTGGCCCGAATACTTTTAATACGTCCTCAGTTTATGTTTCTTATTTTTTTGTGTTTTTTTTTTTCAACGCGTCGGCGCTTCTCTGTCGACGCACTACAGCATGACGGCGCCCCAGGCCGTGGCCTACGCCTACCTGGGCGAGTTCCACTCCCCGGACAACCGCGCCAGGGCCTTCGTGTGGGCGGGCGTGTTCCCCGCCATCGGCCTGCTGCTTCTGCCCGGTTGGTGAAATGAAAACAACAACAAAGAACCTTTTTGAAATTGCGAAATAACGTTGTTGTTGTTGGCCGCAGCGATGGGCTGGCTGGTGCTGCCGCAGCCCTGGGCGGTGTCGCTGCCGCTGGTGGGCGAGGCGCACGCCTGGCGGCTGTACGTGGTGCTGTGCGGCCTGCCCAGCTTCCTCACGGCCGTGGGCTTCTGCTTCCTGCCCGAGAGCCCCAAGTACCTGCTGGGCCAGGGCCGCGACCAGGAGGCGCTGGCCGTGCTGCAGAAGGTGTTCCGCGTCAACTCGGGCCGGCCGGCGCACGAGTATCCGGTGACGGCCCTGCTGCCCGCCACCAGCGACGCGGGGGCCAAGAAGCTCGCCGACGCCGAGGCGTCCGGCACGGCCGCGGACCCGGCGTCGCGGCCCGCGGGCGTGCGCGCCGTGCTGCGCTCCGTGTGGCAACAGACGGCACCGCTCTTCACTCTGGAGCACGCCCTGTCCACCTTCCTGGCGCTCTTCATCATGTTCGGCATCATCGCGGGGTGAGCACGTCCTTCCCGACTTTCATCTCTCTCGCACTCACGGGGCGTGCCGTATGGGTGCGAGAGAGACAGAGCGACGAAAGGACTGTGTGAGGCAACTCGTTCCGCGGCCCGCAGCGCCAACGGGCTGCCCACCTGGCTGCCGGAGCTCTTCAACCGCATGGCGCTGTGGGAGGGCGAGCACCCCGGCGCCAGCACCAGCATCTGCGGCTCGGTGGAGGGGCTGCTGCACCGCGACGGCGCGGCCGCCGGCAACGCGTCGTCGTCGTTGGCCCGCCTCCTCCGGACGACGCGATCGCCCTCCGCCGCCTTCCCCGCGCGGCGCGCCCTCGACCCGGGCGCGTGCGTGGCCACGGTGGAGGAGGCCGTGTTCGTCAACAACCTGTACCTGGGCGTGGCCGCGCTGCTCGCCCCGGTGCTCAGCGTGTACTGCGTCGTGCCCCTGGGCAAGCGCAACCTGCTCAGTGAGTTGTATTCAATCCCGGACAGAACAACACATCGAACAAAAATAGAGTCAGTTTGGACAGGCGTTGCCGGGAGTTGAACCCGCGACCTGTGTGCCGGCAGTCCTGTCGCTGTTCCTGACGGGGGCGTGCGGCGTGGCGCTTGACTTGGTGCGCTCCTCGCTGGCCTTCATGGCGCTGTCCTGCATCGTGGTGGCCGTCACCGAGATGTGCATCTCGCTCTTCTCCAGCGTCGTCGTCGACCTGTTCCCCACGCACCTCAGGTAAAGGGAAGGAAGGTTTCCGTGCGCCGTTTCCGTGTTGGCTCGAAATACTTCGTAAGGATAAAAGGGAGTTTTCTGGTCGGGCCTGCACCAGTTTGCCTGCACTTTTCTGACACCCCTCCTCTGTCCGGCTGGACCGGCGCTGTCTGCTCTCCAGGGCCATGGCAGTGTCGCTGTCCCTCATGTGCGGCCGCATGGGCTCCATCGCGGGCAACTTCATGTTCGGCGCGCTGCTGGAGAACGTGTGTCCGGTCACGTTCTACGCGCTGGGCGGCGTGCTGCTCGGTGAGTGGAGTGGAGTGCGTGTCGCGATTATCCCGCGCGACTCTCGTCAGCGGCAACTCGTGTCTCCCGCCCCGCCGCGCCATACACGCTGAACAGTGCTTGCATCGCCCCGTCTCTCTCGCACTCCCGGGCCGTGCCGTAACAAGCAGTGTGGGTGCGAGAGAGACAGAGCGACCAAGCGGGCCGTTCGGAATCGGCCAGCTGGCCGTCAAGGCCGTTGTGCTCGAGTCACAGACTCGTCGGGAAGTTGGGGCGCGGCAGGGCGGCAGCGTGGCAGAACGCGGGAGCGGCGCGGCGGGGCGCGAGGAGCCGAGTAGAGTTGCGAAGCGCTTCCGGGGATCATTCCCTCCACCGCCTCGGCCAGAGAGAGAGAGAGAGAGAGAGAGAGAGAGAGAGAGAGAGAGAGAGAGAGAGAGAGACGTGACGCGGCTGAGGGATGTGGGTCTTTACCCTGCCCCATTACGTCGTAAAAAGTGAAAAGGGCTACGCCACTTTGGCGGATGACAACAACTCTTCAGCCGCGTAGCCGCGCTCCGAGCTGCCCCTATCCACGTCCCCATCCACGCGGCCCTCCAGCAGGCCGCAGGACGAGCCGCAGGACCTCCACCGCGGAGACACACACGACGGTCTGCACACCTGCCGGCCGGGCCGTCTGCATTGTCTGCTCGCGCGGCTGCCAGCTTGGGCTGCCCGCCTGGCCCGCCTAGCGTCCCGGAGTCGGGTCAGCTCGTGCATTATTCAGCGTTCAACAAGGGCCTTACCATAACAAGAAGCGCGCTGATGACGCTTATCGCGCCAATTGCGGCGAGGGGCGCCCGCGGCGGAGAGGCCGTCTTTCCCGTGGAGCAATCCCGGCGTCATCCCCTCACACACACAGACACACACACACACACACACACAGACACACACACACACACACACACACAGACACACACCAGACACATACATACACACACAGACACAGCCGCGCGTGTCAGTCTTGCTCCATTCCCTTGTTTTTGTTCCAGTTTGCACCGCGCTGGCGTGCGCCTTGCCGCGCCGGGGGAAGTTTGGAGACTGACGGGCTGACGGCGAAGGCGGGAAGGCACCGCCGCCGCGACCGCCGCGACACAGGCGGACATTCGACTCTCCGACGAGGCGGCGGATTGGAGCAATTGGAGCTGCAGCCTGCTTTGGGGACTCTGTCATGGGCGGAGGGCAGAGGGTACTCGCGGAAGGCACTCTGCAGGACTTTCTTTTCTTTAGAGTCAGTGAGTGTGTTTGAGGGTGTGTGTGTGCGCGCGCTCGGTGCACGCCCGCTGCCCGCTCGGGCGTTCTGGCTGTGTAACTCAAATGAACGAAACTTCTCTGGAGGCGGCTGAAGTGGAAGAGACGGGCGCGCCGGAGTCGAATACGCCCGCCCAGCCCAGCCCAGCCGCAGTGCGAGCCGCTCCCACATTTCCCTGCTATGACGAGACACAGTTTGTTCTTTTCCGGACTGCACACACGAGACACGGTCTTCTCAAATTGTACATACGAGACACATTTGTTCTTTCTCAAACTGCACATTTTTTAAGCCAAAAATAAAAATAAAAAGAGGACGACGACAAAACGACCGGAGCAGAAAAAAAAAGAACTGATTGGGTATTCCTACTCGCCGAAAATGCAATTACCGGTTTCAAAGGAAGCCGCCTGATTCGGCCCCGATGAATTATCCGTCGGATTGGCGAATGGCGAGCCGAGCCGGCAGCGCGGGAAATTAAACAGAGCGAAGCGGCGAAGCAGCGAACCAGAGATAAAGAAGAAAGAAAAGGGGAAGACAAATTGGACCGCAGTCCCTTTTGAAACGACGCCGCGCGACGCCGGCGCCCCCTGGACGGACGGCCACTGAAGCAGTGGACTGATTCCGAGAGTCGTTTTCGTCGCTCTGTCTCTCTCGCACCCACGCGGAACGCCGTAGCCATAGTCGCGAGGGAGACAGAGCGAGGAACACTACTGTCGGAGTCAGTCTGCCGGCCGGGGCCGAGCGGTCGAGCGGCCGAGCTGCAAGTGGGGTTGGCTGGCAGGCTGGCGGGGTCCACGGCGTGCTGCATCCCTTGACACGGCAGGACGGCACCAAGCTCGGCACCAAGCCTTAATGGGACTGTCTGAGTAGGCCAGGGCCGGCGGGGGCCTCGGCGGGCCGGACTGGGGGAGGGGCAGCAGAAGCAGCCTCATGCCGAAGAGTCGTTTCATCGCTCCGTCTCTGTCGCGCTCATGGGGCGCCCCGCTGGGGTGCGAGAGAGACAGACAGCGAGGAAGCGACGCTTGCCCGGCAACAGAGCGATTCCGCACAGTGCTCCGTCGCTCGCCTGTCTCCATCCCGCCCCTACGGCCCTACGGCCCCACGGGACGGCCACCCCATGAGTGCGAGAGAGACAGAGCGGCGAGAGCGCGGTTCGGAGTCAGCCTGTTGACCGGGGGCTCGGCTCGGCCGGGGACGCGACGGGAAGGGACGGGGCAGTCCGCGACTTAGCCCTCTGCCCTATTGAAGTGAGCACTGCTTTGCGGTGGAGGCACTTTGGCCGCTTTCATGCACGGGCCCATCGGCCTGACGGGCTGCCGGGCGGCGGTCCTTGAAGCGACCGGGGCGGCTTCATGTGGATATGGACTCTGAAAGGGAGTGGGTCGCCTCGCCCCGCCCCAACCCAGCCTCCATGGCCGGGAAGGAGGACGCCGTCGTGTTTTTGCCTCCGCTCAGCAGCGCCGTGCCGCCGTCGGCCATCTCGTATAAGCAGCGCGCCGTGCGTGGCGTGCGTGGCCCCACGGCTCGGGCCTCCCAAAGGGGGCGTCCACTAGTTACGTAACGGGAAGGCGAGCTGCCACGCAAGACATTCACGAGCTCGCTGACAAAAAAAAAATCCCGTCGACGTGTCGGGCTGATGACTGGTTCCACCGGGTTCCACACATCGCGCGCTGTACGTCTTTCTCGCACTCATGGGGCGTCCCGCGTGGGTGCGAGAGAGACGGCAGCGCGGAGTCAGTGTGCGTTATCGACAGCGTGTCGAGCCACTGTCGGGCGGGGAAGCTCTAAATGACGAGAGCGTTGCGGGGGTGGCTGCGATGCTGCGATGGGGTCTCCGCGGGCAGAGCGGTGAGAGGGGAAGTCCCCGCGCACCGCGCCGCACCGCGCCGCAGGCTGCGCGCTTTGAGGCGACCAGGAAAAGAGTGCGCCGGAGCGGAGGGGAAGAGAGGGGCTGCAATTGAAAAAGTTGAACTCGAGTGATGGCGGTAAATTGGTTCCGCCGCGGCCGCGCGTCGAACCCGATCCGGCGGCCGAGTTTCGAAACGAAGTCGGAATCATGTCGGGGTCGAGTCACTTTCTTTGTTGAATTTGAGCCGCCGGGACATCTTCGCCTCGGCGCAGGCTGCGATTCAGAACAGTTGGAGTCGCGGACTCTCTCGCATTCACGGGCCGTTCCGAAGGGGTGTGAGAGAGACACTGCTGTGCCGACTCCGCCGCCGCTGCAGCTGACAGCTGCGTCTTTTCCGGGAACTTCCTGTCAGCTGAAGTTCGTCCCGTAGACAAAGTAGAAGCACGCTTCAGACCGAGCGGGCTGTTACAGGAGGGAAGATTCGAATCTCGATCTCGAATACACCACCGAAACTGGGCGGGTTGCTCAGTCTGGAATCCCCGACGTGCGCTGCGACCAGTGGACCGTTCGGCCGGCCGAGCCCGAGGCGCCCGAGGCGTGGCCGGTGCCGATTGACTGGTAAGCAGCGTGACGGTGGCAGCCCAGCCCCGGCCTGGCCTGCCCCAGGCACCATCGCTGCGCCGCGCTACAGTGTGCACATCCTCCTCCTCCCGGCCGTCCCGGCCGTCCCGGCCCACAGAGGCCTCCCCCTGCAGTGCCGCGGGGCGCCGGAGCGCGGCGGCGGAGCGTCGGCGCTGGGCTGCTCGCCAGTTGCTCGCCGGATCCAGTGGGGGCAGCACGGGCAGCACGCCTCCGCCACTCAGGGACGCTCGCGCCCCGCACGCACGCGGCGGGCACGCCTCACGCGGCGACCGCGGCGACGTCGGCGACGTCGGCACGTGTTGCGGCACGGCGGTGGAGCACCCCGACGGCCGCCGCCTCCCCGGCCAGATGCTGCTGGCGCCAACCGAGGTGAGCCCCGGCGCCACCGGGACGGCCCACGGCCTCCCCGACGGCCTCCCCGACGGCCTGCCACCGCGCTGCCGGTCTTGTTGTGGTGCGTGATGGAGCGCCCGTCGGATCGGACCCGCCGATACCCCGCGCGCCCGGCGCCTCAGCCACTTTAAATGCTGGCTCATCCTCTGTGGGCTTGGGAGGCTTGGGCGGGGTGGGGCATCATCAGTGGGAATTTCTCGTCGCCAGTTCTTCACGGCACGTCGGTTTTGCGTGACTGTTGTTCGCAGGCTGGAGCTATTGCTGTAGAAACTGCTTTTGTCATTGCTATTTACATTGATATTGCCATTGATGAAGTCATTACTGCACTAAAAACGTACAAACGTTTCGGATACGATGTGGAATTGACGAGTATTGCAAGGTGTAACCTGTACTCAGGTGAACGCCAAACGCAGAGAGTGATTCGCCTCTCGTTTCGCACCGGCCATAAAGTCTCTGGGGAACGGCACGAAAAAAGGGCGCGCACAACAGAGACCTGGAATTCATTTCGCTTGATGTAGCGTTTGCATGCAACATTGTTGGCAACGGCGTCGTTGTTTTTCCCTTTACTCTGCGCGCACACTGCTGCATGCTGGTGTCGCACTCGCTGATTATTACTTGGCACAGCCGCAAGCCGCCGGGCTGGTAGAACCTTTCCGAGAGTCGTCTTCGTCGCTCTGTCTCTCTCCCACCTGTGCAGGGCGCACCGTGAGTGCGAGAGAGACAGCGCGACCAAAGAGACTTTCGGAAGCCCAGGCTGGCCAGACTGCAGCGAGCGGGAAATGGTCCCGCCGCTCTAACCGTGCCTAAGGGCTGCAGCGACGCCGTCTCTGTCGCACTCACGGTCGTGCCGCAGGGCCGCACGGTGCGAGAGAGACAGAGAAGCTCTCTCGGAATGGCTCAGCCGAGGGCCCGGCCCGAGGGCCCGGCCAGGCACGTCGTTTGGCTGCGGGGGAAAGGGGCAAGCTGTCCACAGATTATTGCAAATGATTAATGAGATGGAGATGCCCCGGACCCCGGACCGCCGAGCCGCCAGCCAGCCCAGCCGCCAGCCCAGCCGCCAGCCAGCGCAGCCGCCAGCCCCAGCCGCCATCAGGCCCACAACCGCGGCCAACATGCCAGCGCCGCCGCAGAGAAACAGTGGTACCAACCCTACCAACCGCACGGGCCGTACACAAAAAGGGCAGCGCCGGGCGGGCAGGGCAGGGCGCGCGCCCTTCGAACGTCCCGTTGCGAAGCGGAACGGAAGCGGACCAGCCCTCCGTCCTTCTAATGACTGGAGCCGACAAAAGGGCTGCACGTGTGTGTGTGTCGATGCATGCTAGCCTGTGCCAGGCAGTGGAGAGTCTCTTTGTCTCTCCTTTTGAACGAGCCTCGCTGCTCTACAGCGCTGCCTCGTGGTGCACGGCGTGGGCAACACTGCTGCCCCTGATTGCAAAGAAGCCCCACCGGCGAAACCACATGAAGCGCCAGACCGTGCGTGTGTGTGAGGAGTGTGTCGTTGTGTGGGTGTATCGGTCTGTGGGTGTGTGAGCGTGTCCGTGTGTGGGTGTATCGGTGTGTGAGTGTGCGGTCGGCCCGAGGGCACCAAGACAAACTCAAGAGGGCTGCTGCGGCCTGCGGGCGGGGTGGTTCGACACCACGTCATGTTTGTGAGGAAACTAAGCCCTTCGCGAGCCCGGGCACGTCCAGGAGGGGCCGGGGGCCTAGCAGGCCCAGCCCGCCCTGCCCAGGCCCTGCCCTGCCCAGGCCGGGGGCGGGGGCCGCTTAAGTTTTGTTTGGCGCGGGCGAGTTAGCACCGCCGGCGGGCTATATGCGTGGGGCCGCACGGCCACGGGGGGCCGCCCGTAAACCACGTGGCCGGGACACGCTGGAGCGGGTAAACGGTTCGGAAAGCGGTCACTGTAGGTCTGCACGGTGAAGCGATTATCAAGGACTTTGGAGCATAGTATGTAAGGTGCAAACGGCACTCGAAGAAAGCGTCGAAGCATCTGCAACGATGTTTTAATGCGTTCGCCGCTTTTGTCCAACGACGCCCTTGCTACGTTGCCGCGTGCGTCGGCGAGGGGGCCAGGGTGGGGCCCTCGCAGGTATAGTAACGGCAGCCAGATGTAGTTTGCAGCGAGGGCACACATACACACCTAGGGACCTACACGCACACGCGCGCGCGTGAGTGCTCGCACATACATGCATACGCAGACGCACGCTCAAATACGCACGCACGCTCGCACAAGCGCACACACGTCGACACACACAGACCGCCACACGCCGTCCCACCGGCTTGCCAATTACTGTAATGTCAACACGCCTGGAGCACCGGGGGGCACCGCAGGGCCCGGCGCGGGACATCGAGGCGCTGCCAGCAGACTGATTCCGAGAGTCGTTTTCGCCCTGTCTCTCTCGCACCCATCGGGGGCGCCCGCCGAGAGTGCGACGGAGACAGAGCGACGAAAGCGACTCTGAATCAGCTGCTGTGCGTTGCGCTGCCGGGCCGGGCACCCCGCGAGTCGCAAAATAGCCCAGTTTGTTGCTGGGCCGCTTTACGACGGGACGGTGTCCCGGACTGAACATGTCTCTGACGACCGTCCGGGTACACGGTCCCGGACTCAAAACGGCCATACAGCTTCAAACTGAGACTTCTTGCGTTTTCTTCCTATTTTTGAAAAATAAAATGATTTTGGTACTCATTTGATCGGAACCGTGTTTCCTACTGCGTTCCCGCATCTAATGTCGTTGGCGTCCAACGGGAACCCGTACCGGAATGGGCATGGCCCTCGCGACCCTCCGGGCCGGGGTTCCCCGGGAATTTTTTTTTTGGCTGATTTGGTTTTTTTATGCTGATTCTGCTTTATCTAGTCGCGAGGTCTGGGAGATGCAGGGTTTGGTCAAAGCAGACTCCCGGGCCGAGCGGAAGTTTTCCCAAAACGAGTCCGGGCGTGAATGTGTTAAAGCGTTCGCCGCTTTTTTCCAACGACGCCCTTTCTACGTTTCCGCGTGCGTCGGCGAGGGGGCCAGGGGGGGGCCCCCGCAGGTATAGTAACGGCAGCCAGATGTAGTTTGCAGCGAGGGCACACATACACACCTAGGGACCTACACGCACACGCGCGCGCGTGAGTGCTCGCACATACATGCATACGCAGACGCACGCTCAAATACGCACGCACGCTCGCACAAGCGCACACACGTCGACACACACAGACGCGCACACACGCCGCGCCACCGGCCTTTCCCAATTACTGTAATGTCAACACGCCTGGAGCACCGGGGGGCACCCGCAGGGCCCGGCGCGGGACATCGAGGCGCTGCCAGCAGACTGATTCCGAGAGTCGTTTTCGTCGCCCTGTCTCTCTCGCACCCATCGGGGGCGCCCGCCGAGAGTGCGACGGAGACAGAGCGACGAAAGCGACTCTGAATCAGCCTGCTGTGCGTTGCGCTGCCGGGCAGGGCACGCCCGGCCGAGCGCAGGCCGTGCGGCCCGTCGGCCTGGCCAGTCCGCCACGCCAGTCCGCCACGCCAGTCCCCATCCCCCGTGGCCTCCACCACCGTGGCCGCCTCGCCCGAAGCTCCCTATGCCGCGCCCTGGTCCCTTCGATGAAGCATCTCACGCGACCTCGTTAGCCACGGGATCAAAACGAAAATTGGATCCCCGCGAAAGTGAGACTGGCGGGGAGGGGGTGGGACGGGGTGGGGGGCTGAATTATAACCAAACATGTTGCGGTGTGGGAGGGGAGGGGCGGCCGTCCTGCTGCCTCTATGCCACCGCGTCGACTGCGCTGCCCGCGCGTATTGTGCCCTCATTTTCATTCAAGAGGCTCCCCCACCTCCACCTGGCCGCGCTGCGCCGGTACTGTACAGAGTCGTTTAGTCGCTTTGTCTCCCTCGCACCCCTACGGGCTGCCCCGTGCGTCCGACAGAGAAAGAGAGACAGCGACGAAACGACTCCGATCGGATCGGAGTCAGTCCACAGGTACACGACCGGAGCGCCGAAAGTCCCCCCAAATCGTGTTTCGCTCGGCTCGCTCGGCTCGCCGCCGTCATTGCTTCCCGATGACAATCTCCCTCGTTGGAGTGACGAGGACGGACGACGACGCGGGCCGGCCGCCGCGGAGGGTGCGAGCGAGAGGGAGAGAGACGGCGGCAGAAATTGATGATGTCCCCCGGAACCCCGGGAAGCGAGCAAGTGGCGCGGCGCGCTCCTAGCGGCTGGCCGGCCAGGCCGGGCCACCCTGACCCACAAATCTGGGCAAAGCCGAAGCCCGGCCGGCCGTGGTGGCAGTGTGCGTCCAGGCTGCGCCCCCGTTGCGGCCCCTCCGCCCTGTGGGCCCTGTGCCGGCACTCTTCGGCCCGGCCCCTCCCCCTGCTGTCCCGCCAGCGCTGCTGGATTGCAGTGCTTGATATGACTCCGGCCCGGCGGCCCGGCGGATCAGGAGTCGCTGATACAGAGCGAGATTTTATTTCTCATTCCCCTCGCTCCTCGCCGTCCTCCTTCGCCCCTCCCGAGTCACTCCCACTCCCACCCCGGCCCACCCTGCAGCGACCATTCGCTGCCAAATGCAGTATATCCCCTCCCCTGCCGCTTTTACGGTGGGTGCCGCTGTGATCGGCGACCTCCTACCCTCCTACCCTCTGGGGGCGACTTTGCCGCCGCGACGTGGTTGTGGTGTGTATACAACTACAGTTCCGACCGAAATTGTAAGATCCGGGTCGTGCCGCTTGTGCCTATCGGCGAGGCATGGCGCTTGGCAATGCGGTTTTGGTTTCGTTTTTTTTTCGGGTTTTCGGAGCCTGAGGTTCCTCCGGTTTTGCCGGTGTGCCACCAACGGACCGCGGGAAGGAATGGCCCTCCACCGCGCTTCTCGATACAATGCCCGCGAGCTGTATTGACAGGCTCATTTCTCTCACTCGCCGGACTACACTGCGAAACCGAACGGCCGAACCGAGATGGAGATTCTCCTCCACCTTCAGTACGTCCCAGCAACAACTCAATTCTGTCGTCGGGCCTAACGTCGACATTTTCCCAAGAAATGTTTCATCTTTTTACGGGAGGGAAGAGCTCTCGTTGCTTCTTCCCCGGAGCGAATTTTCCTGTTAGCATCATGGAATTTTCCTGTTTGCGTCACGGCCTCGCCGGATCGCGCGGATAGCAGGCTGGAAGTATTGGGCAGCATCGGCCCTATTGCCCCGGGCGGGCCGGGGCGGGGCGGGGCGGGGCGCCACCACGGTGGGGCTCGTAGGCGGTCCACCACTTGATGATCTGCCGGAACGATTAATAACGCTCGCTGCGGCTCTTTCGGGAGTTTGGCCCTTTCTCCCTTTCTCTCTTTCTCCCTTTCTTCCCTTTCTCTCCCCGTCTTCCCCACCCGGCCTCTGTGCCGCCACCCCTTCCACGCTGTGCCGCCTGCACAGAGTGTTTCGTGGAGGGCTGTTTTAAAAGAAGCAACGAAAAACCCATAGGGTTTGCAAAAGTTTGATTTTTAAAAAATACCAGAAAGACGATGGTTGAGAAGTTATCACTTGGGTAATCAGTTTCCTTGCTGTCGATGCCGGGGCTGTCAGCGCGTGCGTGTGTGTGTGTGGGGGGGGGTCGCTGTCGCCGTCCCGAGCGCTTCCTCGAGGAAGCTCGGCTGGCTGGCTGGCTGGCCGTTTCCGCAGCGGGAAGTGTGTCGCGCGGCGTTCGTTACGACTGCACCCAGTTTGATGTCACAAACTTTTGTCCTGGGTGCTGAGAAGGCGGTCGTCGTGGCCGAAAGGATAGCCGAAGCCAGTGTGGCGCGCCCCGCCCCGCCCCGCCCCGCCCCGCCCTGCCCCGCCCCGCCCCGCCCCGCCCCGCCCCGCCCCGCCCCGCCCCGCCCCGCCCCGCCCCGCCCCGCCATAAACTGGCCGCGGGGCCGCGGGCTGGCGCGGCTGTCCTCGGCCCGCACCCAATGGCCGGAATGCCGAGATGGCGGCCTCCGAGGCGCGGCCTGCGCGATTCCGAGAGTCGTTTTCGTCGCTCTGTCTCTCTCGCACCCATACGGGACGCCCCGTGAGTGCGAGAGAGACAGGGCCACGGCGGCAGAATAGAATACCGCTCCGGGATGAGCGGAGCGTCAACGCCTCCGTTATTTTCAGCTCAGGAGGCAGCGGCGCGCGGTGCGGTGCGTCAGGCCGGCAGGGGAGGCGGGCTAACTTGGCCGTCGGACCCTCCCTTCCCTTCCCCTCTCACTCCGCCCGCCTCGTCCATCTCTCTCACGCGGCACTTTGCAATTCTGGAATGATTAGGGTGCCGCTTGATCGGAGTGGAACATCGCGCGGGGCCCGCTCGTCCTCAAAAGCAGCCCCGAAAAACTTTCCGCTTGTTGTGGGAGGGGAAAATATACATCAGCAAAAAGGGAAAGAAGAGAGTGCTTACGCAGCGTCCTTGCCGTGTTCCCGACACAATCATGGATAAAAGATTAAAAACGCAAACTTTTTTTTGTTTTTGGTTCTGCAGGCTGAAATTGTCACTCTCGCCTTAGGTTCGTCCTTGAGAGAAATTGGACCAATTTCGGCAAGGCTGACCCTTCTTCTTGACGCGGGCTGGCAGGCCAAAGGCAGCTAAAGGCAGCTAAAGGCCAAGCCGGAGGGGTTGCCGGCGGCGCTTCCAATAACTTTGTTTAAAGTGCCGTGACGTTTTATTCGTTAATGAAATGGCATTGTGCTCTTTTTCTTTTAGCCTCCCCCCTTTTTCGCCGCCCGTGTCCGGCTGGCCCTCTTAAGGAGGATTTAATTTGACACAAAGTTTCCCCCGCAGCGAGTGACGGCCCCCTGACGGCCCCGCCGACTGATGCCGAGCGGGGCGTCGCCTTCTCTGTCTCTGTCGCACTCACGGGCCGCCCCGTCGGGGTGCGAGAGAGACGACGCGACCGGCCTGCAGATGGAATGGGGAGGACGAGCGGGACGGCGCGCTTTTAAGAGGGCCTCCTTCTCCTGCAGACTGATTCCGAGAACCGTTTTCGTCGCCGTCGCCCTGGCACCTACGAGGGGCGCGCCGCGAGTGCGACAGAGACCGAGCGTCGATTCGCGGAACGAGTCTGCTGCAGCGCGGCGACGCGCGACGCCCTGTTCGGTGCCCTCTTTCGCTGATGAATGTTTGTGTCGCAGGACGGATTCCGAGGCCGACACCTCCGCCTCCTCAGCAGCGTCAGCATGGACTCCGTCAACACGGTGAGCGTCTCCTCAACAAACTTGCGTAAGAGGCGAGCCGTGCCGACGAGTCGTTTCCGTCGCCGCGCCTCCCTCCTACCCCTGCGGGCAGGCCCGTGAGTGCGACAGAGACAGCGCGAAGGAGCGCCCCGTTCGGAATCATTTTGCGCGCTGCTTGCCGAGAGAGCCGTCTTCGCAGCGCTTTCGCCCCTTACAGAGCACGACACAGTTCGGGGCGGCCCGGAAGCAGGCGGTGTAAGGCGCCGTGCACCCCGCCGTCAAAGAGACCCCGAAACAGTTTACGAGCACCGCGACGTAAAGCGCGCGGTCCGAGCGAGTCCGGTGGTGTGGGGAGGGGAGGGGGGCCTGGGGGCGGGCCCCTCCGGCCACAGCGGGGCGGAGGAGGAGCTGGCTGGAGAGAGCTGTATGTCCGCACACGCTGTGTGCGCTTCGTCGCGGTGCCCGGGGGCTCGGCCACGCCAGAGTGCTGCTTCCTGTCTGGCTTGGCTTTGGCGCGGAGCCCGGCCGCCGGCCATCAACCGTCAGGCAACGCGCCGGCCGCCCTGTTCGACGGGACTGCCTGGCCGTCAGCCTGCAGAATCCAGGGTAGGCAACCCGCCGGCCGCCCTGTTCGACGGGACTGCCTACGCGGTCAGGCTGACTCCCATTACCATTACGGGCTAGACCACATGATCGTATGCCACTTCGGGCCCGGCGCCGGCCGCCGCCCCGCCTCTGCCGGAGCCTTCAAGTGGGACGGCAACTCAGCTGCTCTACCGCGGACGCGTATATCTCTTCTCGGCTCCTCCCACTGCATGCAGCGCGTAGCAGCGCGTCGTCGCCATCTGGCTCTGAATTCCATTTGCCGACCCGCACAGTGTTCTGCCACTTTGGTTCGGAAAGAAAGAGGGACAAATTGAATTGAAACATTGAAGTGGCGCGGCCGTGGGCGAGGCTTGGCGCTTCACGCTCGGCACTGGCGGAGCCTCGCGGACGGGGCGGAGCAGGCCGAGGCCTTGGATGAGGCTGCCGGGACTGTGTCCACAGCCGGGCGGGGCCGGGCGGGGCCGGGCGGGGCCGCGGGGAGTGGGGGTCAATGGCTCGGCAAAACTTTTACCACTTTTCACGACGAACGGGAACGGCGAGACGCCAATCTGTCCTTGCCTCGCTTTCTTTTCTCTTTTCGAGTCTCATCCCGGCGGGATTGATTCAGCGCTCGTCTGACTGGGGCACACCCGGAGGGGTGGGGGTGGGGGCGACACCTCTGACTAGTCCCCCCCTCCTCCCGGTGCGACACAAAGACACACGCGCGTGCCCCCCTCCCCCTTTTGCGTCGCCGTGCTTCCTTCGGCACGCGCCGCCCGGCCCAACAAAGCGGCGTGTTCACATGAAAGGGAGCCTCGTTGTGGGGGAACGGCGTGCCGAGACAGCGAGGAAGGTGCTCGCGTGGATGGATGGAAGCGAACCGGAGTGAGACGCGAGCCTGCCTGCCAGCCCCGTCTGGCCGCCCCGCCCCGCCCCGCCCCCCCCGCCCCGCCCCGCCCCGCCCCGCCCCGCCCCGCCCCGCCCCGCCCTGCCCCGCCCCGCCCCGCCCCGCCGAGCCCCACTCGAATCCAGCGCGACCATTGACGCCGGTGGGACGCCCGCCGACCCCCGCGGACAAAGCGTGTGAGAGAGGGAGGCGTTCTCGTTTTGTTTCTTTCTCTCTTAAAAAAAAAGAAAAGAAAAACACTTTTCGCCGCGTTTACGGAACGGACGGGACGCGGGCGTGGCGCGGTGCTATGGGAAAACGCGCCACAATGTCACAGTCACACGTCATGACGTCATCCAAAAGCAAAAGCAGTGGAAAAGGAAAACGCAAACAAACGGCCAAGCCGTCCACCCCCTGTACGCACACTGTTCGCGAAAAAGGAGGAGAAATAAATGTTTTTCTGGTGTAGGCTGTGTCTAGTGTGGTGGTATCGCGCTGACGGGGCGGACGTGACTCGTATCATCGCCTCATGCATATGCAGCGCCGAGCAGCGCGGCCAGATTATTTCCCCTTTCGCCCGCGGCCAATGAATTCGCGGCTCCATTTAGGTTTTCACTTTGCACACTGCACCGCGCCACGCCACGCCCCGCCACGCCCCGCCACGCCCCGTAGCGCCAGCACACTGGCTTTTTGTGTTTTTCCGATTCGCATGGCACCAGCGGGGCCGCCCAGCTCTTAGCGGCGGTACCCAGGGTAAACACACGACCACTCGCACTCACACACGCGCGCACAATGCACACAGACACAGACGAAACACTCTCCCGCGCACGTACTCACCTCTCATGCGCATTTTCACCGCGCGCTGAAAAGGCTCAAAACGTGAATACCGTGGAAAGTTTTTGCATCTGAAAAAAAAAGAGAACGCTCCAATCACAAAGTGAAAATGAAAATGACCAAGGCGGTGTTAGTATTCCACTCTTATACCGTTCTACAACCCTCACGAAGATAATAATTATTATGTTTCTGCAAATCATTTCTAGCACTTGTGGTGAGGCTTCAAAGAAAACACTGTATCGGCACACTTTCGTATGCTAGTTTACGAAGCAATCCTCCGTGTAGAGTACAAAGAGTTCGTTTCTCACACATGCTCAAGAAACTCGGCAAAAATTTTTGACAGTGTCTTCGCGGGGTGCATCGCGGTATTGCGGTATTTTGACCGTGGGCCGTGCGGGATGCACTGGACTGCACTGATAGGACGGCGCGTCGGGGAGGTGTTTGTTATTGTTTGGAATGGAATGGGTCCTTTGCAGGGAGCCCGGAGGTCCCGAGGGTCCCGAGGGAGCGTCAAGGATTGCGCGGAGGTGGCGCGGCGTGGCGTGGCGTGGCGTGGCGTGGCGTGGCGTGGCGTGGCGTGGCGTGGCCAGGGCAGCGAGCGGGCCAGAGAGCGAAAAAAAGGAGAAAAAGGCGAGGGGAGCTTTCTTCTTTCAGCAGGATGTTGGGGGCCCTGCGGGGCTCGGGGGCCCTGGTCCCTGGTACACGTTAGCAGGTGTCGGCACACGCCCTCCTTTCACGTGGCGTGGCGGGGCGTGGTGTGGCGGGGCGGGGCGTGGCGGCGCGGCGCTGGAGGCGGGCGGGCTGGGAGGCAGAGGCCACCGATCTTGTTAGGACGGCCCGCCCTCGGCCCGCCCGGTCGTCGTCGGCGTGATGCTCAAGGTTGTCAGTGTCCTCCGCCTTCCCCCGCGTCTGGCCGCTGCCGCCGCCCTCACTGCCCTCCCTTTCCCGACATGGCGTTGTAAATCTCCTGGGCGGGCCGTGGTGGTGGCGTGGCTGGGCGAAGGCTTCGATTCCCTTCAACACATTTATCTTTCCACCTGCCCAAGCCGCCCCGCCCCGCTCCGCCCCGCTCCGCCCCGCTCCGCCCCGCGGAGGTCGTCGCGCTCCGGCTATTTTGAGGGAGAGCGCCGCGCCGTTTGAACGGAGAAGTTGAATCGAGGAGCGAAGATAAAAAACGGAAGGGTCTGGTCAACCGATTGGCTGAATAGCGCGGCCCCGGCGTGGTGTGGTCCCCCCTCCCCTCCCCCTTTTCTGGAGAGGCCTGCAAGGGTCTGCTCGAGAGCCCTGGATCGGTTGGAGGGTCCTGCTGGAGAGACCGACCGAGAAGCGGCCGGACCGAAGCAATGGGCACTTTGACACAGTGTGGGTCCAGATGAGCGTACCAAGAGCGCTCTCTCTCCCTTTCACTCTCTCTGCTCCTCTCCCCTCTCGCTCGTGCCGGGCTCGCTGGACCGCACACGCGTGTGTGCTGCCCGAAATCCCGAGGGAGGCCCGGCCGTTTGGTCCATTGAGTCAGAGACTGGGCGCGACGCCGTGCGCCGTGTGGATTCGGTGGTTCGGGGTGGTTCGGCGGTGGCCCTGGGAGTCTGGAAGCTGTGGTCCAGGAAGGGGAGGGGAGGGTCTCGAGGAAGCAGTGCCCGGCTCTGCCTGTCCAGGACGCACGGCTGACCCGCGCTGCTGACTGCGCTGGCCGCTGCAGTCGGCTCCCAACAGTGATTCCATCGCTCTCGCACACTCGTGGGGCCCCGGGTACCGTAGGTGTGCGAGAGAGACAGAGACACGCGGCGGATCGCTCTGCAGGTGCGGCGTCCTTGGCCGTCCTTCCCTCTTGGCCCACTGCATCGCTATGCCGTCGTGGCCGCCGGCACACTATATTATACGGCTACCCGTTTTCATTGGGTAGTAAAATATTTTATTCCCTCGCGACGGGCGGTCTGCGGTCGGGGCCCGGCATTTGGCGACGGGGGGGGGGGGGGGATGATCTCTGTGACGCAGCGCGCGGCGTCACGGCGGGAAGCGCGACACTGTGACTGTGACGCCGCGTGACGCGGTCGGCGCGCCGCGCGTGGCAGCACAGGAATGTTTTTGGAATGCGATACGTCGGAGTTCCAGCCCGTGGAGGAGAAGCGGAGAACCCTGCCACGCAGAGCTAGCACGCGCCTGTCCAGAGGAGACCGCGAGCACGCCGAAGAGGCTGCGACGTGGACGGTTCCTCGACGCGGCCGGCAATCGACGTGAGGTCGCGTTGTCCGCCAGGTTCCGAGAGTCTCTCTCCCACACGGCGCGCCCGATGAGTGCGAGAGAGACGGAGCGGAATGAGTCTGCTGCAGGCCGGCTAATTGTCGCCAGAGGGACGGAGCCCTTGGACTACGTAAAACAAAAACGTGCTCCGAATGAAGCGGCGAGGCGGCCGCCGAAGAGGCTGGCGGCGCTGGCGGTGCTGGCGGCCACCAAAGTACTCCCTAATTGCCCGAGGCCAGGGCTCCTCGGTCTAGGGGCGGTTCGGGTCGCCGGACGGGGCGGGACGGGACGACCGACTTGGCGCCGAGTTCGTCACAGTTCGTCTTCGCCTTGCAGTGTGTGACCTTCTTGCCTGCCGGAATCCGCTGGAACGGCGGTGACCCGCGCCGGGCCGCCCCGACAACTCTAAACTGGAGCTCGGCGCGCCCCGTGCCCCCTAGTGCCCCGCGCCCCGTCCCCGAGCAGGCGAAGCAGG